ACTAGCTGCCCACAGAGATGCATAAAAGAAAAAGAAAAACAACATTTGGTCAGTGGGTAGATTAACTGAAATATTTATATACAAAAAATTGAGGCTCTGATAGGAATCTGATGATAGCAGCGCATGTGAATATACAAAGGAACAAAAGGAAAATAAGTGTCAATGGGAGACTATGGTAGTTGTCTATTTTTTTTGTTAATGTTCACAGGGGCAGAAAAATGTAGGATTCACAAGGTAAACTGAAATAAAAACAAAGCAGAGAAGAAAGTGGGAATTGAGACAGAGTGTAAAGGGAATTGGAGTAAAGTGAGTTTTCATGGAAACCCTTGGGATGTCTGTAATGAGCTGGAGGGAGGCATGTTTGCCTTGCGTGCTTTACAGAGAAATATGACCCTGTGATTTACACAGTGGGGCTTTTTAACCACTCCCACACACATCCACATAATACCGGACTCAAAGGAAACCCAAGGCAGTCATTTTGATGAACACAGACTTACCAAAAATGAGATTTTGCTACTGTGTAATCGAGGTTTCTTAAATGTGTTGCACGGAAAGAAAACAATAGAGAAGAACCATCGTGAAGTATAGTATGTAGCTCACACAAGTAGTCCTTGGATGGCAGAAAACAAACCACTCAGAGTGCGTTAACAGGACATCATTAAATAGAGTCTGTTAAACTGATATGTAAGAACTACTCCAATCATTTTGTTTTTAATTAATGTGTTTGGGCACACAAAGTGTACTGTTTTTATTTTTGGATTCTGGTACATGCTTATTTTAAACGGAATAAATTATTCAACTTTAAATGGTGATTATTTCTTAAAACTGAGGGACATGCTAAAAAACGTCACCGTTACTCTTAATAAAAATGGGAAAAATAAAACCCACCCCCCTAACAGTCTAATTTCAAATCAATAAAATAATTAAAATGTTATGGTTTTGGTTTCTATTTGTTAAAAACAAACCAATCAGTGTTCAGATTGATTTTTTTTGTTTGTTATTTTTACTTTCTTCAATTAAAGCTAAGTTTCTAATTTTCAGGGACATCTGATGATCAGATTCCAGATTGTTGCAACATGACGCGCTCCCCCTACAGCTTCTACCCTCCACCAGTAATACAGAGGCCATCATGGTACAAAATGGCTTCTGCAACGTCTGCATCACTTATCTTTTCAAGTGTTTAGGGGGTTTGTTCACATAGGTGATTGTATAAATAGTATTTTGTTAGTCTGTGTAGGATATAGATTTTATATAGGCCAAAAAATTGCGATTGTTTCACATCATTGTCATATTTTAGCAAGCTGCTTAGCAAGTTGATACACATGACTAAGTAATCGAGGTCTTTAAGTTTGATAGGAAGATTATACAGTAGCATATACAGTATTATCCTCATTTACAGAGAAAATGCTCTGTGCTCACCCACTCCTATATAATCATAAACAGCAATTTCTAAGGCAAAGCTAACATAAAAATTGAGCCTTTTAGTTCACAGATCATAATAAATTACATACTTATATATAATATAATACATTTCTGTCAGCAAATCCCTGTAATTATTACATGCTGCCGTTTTACCGAAGATTAAAAACATTCACATATTATTAAGTATGGCCTTAAGTAGAATTTGGGTTAAAAACTTTACATCAGTGGTTCTCAGTCCCAGTTCTCAAGTACCACTGCCCTGCATGTTACAGATTTCTCCTCGCTGCGACACACCTAACTTATATCAAAGAAAGATTGACAAACTTCTGTAGCACTTAAAGGCTGCTGAGGATGTCATGAAGTCATTTAAATTAGGACTGCTGCAACAGAGAGACATCTAAACCTTGCAGGGCAGTGGTAGTTAAGAAGCAGGTCTGAGAATTACTGTTGTGCTTAGTAGTATCCTTGCTAAATTCTCTCACAGAAGTTTTAATGGACTATTTTCCCAACTCCACTTCCTGAAGTTAATTGGGTATGGCCATTCCGTTCATTGGTATTGAGATCTAACAAACTTAGATTAATTAGTTTGTCAACTAATGAAAGACAGGAAATAGCCGAGCTGGCTTATGTTCAGGAAGTACTTGAGTTGGCCATGTAGCCCATTGTGGCTGAATCTTCTTGAACTGGTCTAAATGAGTCATGTTTGGGGTGACTAACTACAATACAATACATTTATCTAAAAAGCGCTTTATAACAAAAACATAAAAATGAGTAAACTGCATGGAAGGTGGTATGAAAATGTCACTTTTTTGAAACTGCTTAAGTGTTTTATTATACAATTTTTGCCGTATAACCCTTAGTTATTTATTTTTTTATATTAATCTATTCAGAGACATTGCTCAGGTTACCCTCCTCCTGCTTACACCTGTGTTGCTGCTAGCTCTACAGGCTGAATGATCACTGAAGTGAATTTTCCCCTGTTTTGGCCTCTTCAGAGAGGGTGCAACGCATTCACCGTTGCACTCTGAAACATATCAAAGTCAGCTCTATGGGATAGTTTGGCTACCACAAGAAGGCAATGGCTTGGAGAAAGAAGGATGCCCTACCTGCGTTCAAGCCATGGCAGTGAGAGTATGCATAACGGCTAATATGCAGGAGTATCAACAAGCGCTATTTGCTAAATTCAAGGTAAAGTTCATACCATCTTCTTGAAATAAACTGTTACCTTTAGCATCAGGCATTAGTAAAACAAACTACTACCATGTCATTGAGGTAGAGAGTTTGTAGAAGGCTGGTGACAACTTGTTAACCAGAACTCTCTGTGGTTGTTGGATTGTTTAGTTGATTCCTTTTAGGTTTTCCGTAAAAGTAAAAAAAATATCCACTGGACTTGTTGATGAAGGTTCTCAGTCATCCAGGTCATAGTCATTACGTAAAAATTCAAAAAATATCCACTGGACTTGGTTTTCAAGATTTGAAGACGTTTCGCCACCTCTCCAGGAAGCTTTCTCAATTCAAATGTCTGGATCCGCAGCGAACAGAAACACATCAAAGATGCTCTCCGAAACTGTGGATATCCAAACTGGGCTTTTATCAAATCAGCAAGGAAATCCAAAAGACACGCAACAGAAGACAGATGGGAAAATTAAACGCAAAAACATCACAATCCCTTATGTTGCTGGGGTGTCTGAAAAGCTCAAGAGGATTTTCTCCAAACACAAGATCCCAGTACATTTCAAGCCAAACCAAACCCTTAAACAGAGGCTAGTGCATCCTAAAGATCAAACCCCCAGACCGAATATGAGCGGAGTGGTATATGCTGTTCAGTGCAGCGAGGAATTTCAGCGAGGAATTTCAGTGCTAGTACTGGCCATAGTCCAAATAGAGATCTTATTGGAAAGAGATACAGTAAACTATAGTTAACAACCCTATTGACCAGAAAACCAACCTACTTGAATGAAGTCTTGTGTATGTCATGAAATGCATTCAAATATTCCCCGAACTTTGAGTATGGATATAAAATATGATTTCCTAGCTGTTAAAAAAGTTATAATTTCTCAGCAACTTTCTAATGCAGGCCTAGCAGTGTAACTTAAATGGTGAATTAATTGAACCACAAAATGAATCTTTACTCATACAGGAAGCGTAATAATTGCAGAGGAATGTACATGAAGAGAGGTGTGTAGATTTATATATTTGACATTATTAGAAGAAAGTGATCACCTCGGTAATCAGCGAAATAAAAATAAAAACATGCAAAACTTGCATCATGTTGCATTTGCAGTAAGCCAGATACATACATACATACATACATACATACATACATACATACATACATACACACACACACACACACACACACACACACACACACACACACACACACACATACATACATACATACATACATACACACACACACTGTCATGGACAACACCTTTAACAGCAGATCAGAACGAAAAATGTAAAAAAAAAGACAACCAAGTTAAGTTTCACTTTGTGCAAGAAGATAACAATAAGTCTAACTATAATTTGTGTTTGCTTTTCCTGTAAAGACAAATTATTTCTATGTGTCAACAACATATGTGAGTATATAAATTCAAAGTTATGCTAGTGACCAGGTCTTTTAAAACATGCTGGGCAAAATTTAATCTTGGAGGTCCCCTTAACATAGGGATTAGATCCCTTTGGTAAGAAAAAAAAAAAAGAAATTGTGCAGGGGCATAAATGTGTCTCAAGTTTAGATGATGACTTAATATTTCCTTTGGAAAGTCACTGGAGAACAGCAAGCTTATGATTTAGCCTAAAACAGCAACAGCAGTATTTGAATAAGATATTAAAAAGAAGCTGTATCTGTTCCTAAGTAATTTCCATTGTTCTTTATCAATCTTGTCACTCATTACATTGCTCTCTGTGTAAGACTACAGTATGTATGCAGTCAATCATAAAATGCACCACGCTTTGGCATATTCAGTATCCTTTTACAGTAAGACTATATAAAATTTTTGATTCTATAATAATGCAATGAATCTTTTTTTGTGAAACAGTGCAAACAAGAAAAAAAAAAGCTATCATTCTGAGGATTATTCTGGCATTTTTAGGGGATTGGCTTTTTTAAAACTTTCTGTGATTTTTAATTTCTGTCAGTTTGCAGTACAGACATAGAGAACACTCTTGCCGGCATATGTACAAATATCTTTAGACAGCAACACTTTAATTATAAAGCCTTTCTGCATTTATAGCCCTGTTATAGTGAGTTTATAACCCTAACATTTACTTGAGTAAAGCTCAGCAGCAAAATAAATAACTATTAATCTCAGTTCTTTAGGGAAACTGAAAATTCTAAAGCAACCTGTTTGCTTAATCTACAACCTTTGAAATGACTTTCAATTTTCTTACCTAAAGATATGTATTATTTTACATGATCTTCATTAGTACAGGCAGAGTAAGACAGTTTAAAACTTATTTAACTATTCAACCAAAGCACAACATTGTATTTAACTAGCAAATACTTATATCAAGTACCTACAAGTCTCTTAGACAAAATATATAGGTAATATAGGTATATTTCTTCTTACCTTGGCAATCTGGACACACCAGTTGAGAAGTAGCTGTGATCCAATGTTGTCTTTGTGCTCGTGAACATAATCAAGCAGGCAGCCATGAGGCATCAGTTGTGTCACCAGCTGGATGGTGGGACTAAGGCAAACACCCAGCAGCCGGACAAGGTGAGGGTGCTCCATGCTGGCCATTATCAAAGCCTCCTGAAAAAAAGAAAGATTCACACTAAGGCATGCAGGGTGATCTAGGCATAGCTAGCCAATGGATACTTCAAAACATAGAAATATTAAAAACAAAAATGTTTCAACACAAGATAATGTGTTACATCTCTGGTGATCTGGACCAAAGAAAACAATGGTTGGCCTAAATATGTGTTGCAAATGTACATTTTGTGTAAAACGTATGTAAATAGGTACTATTTTGCTCTCCACCAATCAATCAAACAAACCCTTATGCTTTTATGTTCAATAGTTAGGTTGGTCAAGTTAATTTCATTTATAACTAAATGCTTTATTACTTTAGAGAGAGAGAGGGGAATAACTATTGTTTATACTCAAATTGCTCACTTTAGAGAGCAGTTTGTTTTAAATGAACACACAAAACAACAATTGCCAGTCAAATATATATACAACAAAACAACATACACACAAAAAAATAGACATTATCCACAAAACCTTATAGGGACTGCCATAATCTGAAGATTTCTACACGATCACTGACAGATGAACTTATGCACAATAATAGCATTTTTCCTGCAAAGGAGAAAATAAAGTCGAAAAGTTAAGTTGTCTGAAATATCTATTGGTAATTCCCAAATGAAAAGATTGTCTAGACCTTGCTCTTGAAATGTCATTTTGTGTAAAGGTAGTTTCCCTGCTAATGTCAAAGGACACATGCTCAAACATTCTCACACACTGAAGCGTTCATCATGTCTGCTATTGTAGACTGTACTCCTGGAGATCACAGGACCCCTTATTCTCTTTAAGGCTGAAGTTCCTCTTGAAGTGAGCAGCAACGATCCACTCAGTCAGAAACAGTTGAATTCTATTCAGTGCAAAGATCAAAGTGACTCGCTACTTCAAGAGATTTGATGTTCTTCATAGTAAAATAAAAATGAGGTAAATACAGCAATGGGGGCAGGGGTGGGTTGGGTTGGGGATTGCTGTGAATCATTAATACCTGCCAGCGAGATTTTAGAAAAAAAATGGGTGATTTCTACTTGTTTACTGATATTTTGTATAAAAAGGAAGAAATACAGGTTATATTTGTAATAAATGCACATCTGTAGTCTGTCACATTGCATGCAATTGAGATAACATATATACTTTACGATTTATTCTTTTCATTAAGATAAAATAATACCAAAGGCAAATACTTCAATAAAATCAATGAATTTAAAACACATGCTAAACATGTTGGCAAGACGAGTTCTGAACTTTTTACATGACAATTAAACCACAAAAAAAATAAATGTAAAAATGTATTTTTGCCTGTATCCCTTGTTCATTTATAGGATAGCTGAAGGAAAGGCTGACGAATCAAAATAACATTTGGCTTGAGGGTTTCTGCTGCTGGGTTTCAGGTATAAACCTTGCAGAACTGGTAATTATGTCTGACCTTTTTTTTTTTTTTTTTTTTTTTTTTTTTTAACATGGACTAACAGAAGTACGCCCTGTACAAGATTAACATTTTACAACATAAGACTGATAAACCTAAGGGTGTGGGATCTCCAAAGGTCACTATGAACAAAGACTATCAACAGAGAGATGATGCTCTGGTGATGGAGGTAAAGTATCCCCTTTCTTTTAATAAAGTGAATGAAAAGAACTACAGTGCGTAGTCTTATTACAGGGGGTGGGGGGACAACACAAGAAAACTTTGCAGTACAGATCACAGGTTTTCATTTAGATAATTTCTGCAAAGTGTTGAAACAAACAATATTAAATACTATAAGCTGTAGTAACTATGTTACATTTACAGTAACTAGCATTGTACAGTAACTAATTTGTTTGTCATTAGTTAGTTTGACATTAGTTTGACAGTAACGCGTTAGCCATGACTAAGCTTTAAAAAGATTTGTCATTTAAGGTGCATGAATAAGGACTACAGTTTCCTAGTTTAAGTGCACGTGTCAGCAATGTGCATGTTTACTGTAAGTAAATTTGGCGCATGCACATGCTCTACTGTATGCAACTTCAGCAGGGACAGAAAGGAGAAATTATGGAGCAGAGCGACCGACTGAATATAGTTGAGTCAGTAATGATATTTTTTTTGCTTGATGACAATAATTAATTTTCAGCTTCATACCTATGAGTTTACTACATGGTTTTGTTTTCTTTTTTTAACAAAAAACCTGGGATCAAGATCACTTCTATTTCAGTTTAAGTATATATATATATATATATATATATATATATATATATATATATATATATATATATATATATATATATAGTTATTTATTCATTTATATATTTATTTATTTTTTGCTTGATGACAATAATTAATTTTCAGCTTCATACCTATGAGTTTTGGTCCCTAAAGTTTTGCAAAAAAAAAAAAAAGAGAAACTTTATTTGATCATAATGTACTACTCAATTAACAGTTGGCTTTACCTCAGTTTTTTGTGCCTCATTGGTATATGGGTTTTGTTTACCTTCAACAGCTGTGGGAGGGGAGTACCTTGGGGGTCTTAAGAACTCCCACAAAAAAGCTTTGCATAGTAATTATAATTTAACTTTATTGATCTCACATTGTAGAAATTCATCTCTGCATTTAACCTATCCCGGGGAGCAGTGTGGGATTGCCTGTGGGAGTGGGTTTTGAACTCACAACCTCAGGATTCCAAGCTCTATGCCCTAACTACTTGGCCGCCACTCCCCTCCCTGCATATATAATATGCACCATTTGAAAAGTGTGACAGTTGACAAACTGTTGCCACTGTCTGACTTAATGGAATGTGGAGTTCTGTTTCTCCTTCTTTGTTTGCAAACAACAGGTGATTACCACCCCCTGCTGTGACCTAAAATCAATGAAAACATTTTCATACAAATGGAATTTAAATAAAAAAAATCTTCAAATTAAAAAACCATTGTTGTTAGACAGAACACAGCCAGTTTATTTAGTCATGTGTCAATTTAAAGAAGTCAAAGTCCTTTCAAGAACTGAAGACAAATGACAATTGTCATTGTCAGTCCCACTCATCCTCTGCCTTATTCTACCACCAGTGTCCGTTTTTTATTTATCTTTTCAATACGTATTTTTTAATTAAACTTGAATTGAATGTGTTATATAAACAATCTCCACCTGAGATGTCCCTCGTTCCGCTCCAGCAAATCAACTAGGGGGCCGTGCGTTCTCCGAAGCCAATCATCTCACAAGATCCCCTTCATTTAGCTCCTGGCCCAATTTCTCTCTCTCGCAGACAAGCAAACTTTCATCCACCTTCACCCCATCTGCTCCCTCATTGTCAGTCCCACTCATCCTCTGCCTTATTCTACCACCAGTGTTCGAGCCAGCGGGGCGACTACTCTAACCCTTTTCTAGGTTACTCATTTAAGCATACTTTGATTCACAGCATCAAAGTCTTTTGCCTTAGCCCGAGTGCTAATGAACTTATTTTGTTTATGTCTTTATCTGCTTCTGTCCCCTCGAATCTGAGCCTACCTCGACAATGAGTCTGGTTCTGCTGGAGGTTTCTTCCTGTTAAAAGGGAGTTTTCCTCTCCACTGTCGCTTAACATGCATGTTCGGTGCGAGGGGTTGCAGAGAGTCAATGACTCCTCCCAATCAACTAGTTTTCCTTAGATAGAAATATTTTGAAGAATATGATTGTTTTACCTGTATAAATAAATGTAACATTTTTTTAATTGCAGCTTTTCACTGTAAGAGTTTCAAGGGTTGGTGGAGGTTTTTGATGACTTTTGCTGTTTAATAAAAAATCCCACAGGCAACTGGTGCAAAGTTTAAAAACACAAAATACTGAAACACAAAAATCCAGTTAACGTGAGGGAGAACACAAAGATGTGACGGTGAAGCAACAAACCAACAAGAAACCAGCAATAAGGAACTGCAGGTGGTGTATATATGGGGAACACAAGAAAGAATGGACTAATGAGCTGATGTGGAACAGGTGTGAATAAAACTAACAAGAAGGAAGCCAAGCGAAAAGGGGGCTACAGAAAGTATCTAAACAAAAATACAACACAGCCAGAAAACAACTGCAAAGACATAGAATTACAAATAAATGAAACATAAACCTAAGCAGAGGACAGAACCTTGACAGAGAGTCTTTCCAGGTTAAAATAAGAATAGAGCTATTTATATTTTCTTTACAGAAACAAAATGCCTTTAGCTTTGATAATAAAAGCTTTCGTTTTTACAGAAAGATTTTTTGAGGTGGTGAGCTGTAATTGCCTTGCAGCTATTGAAAACTAAAACAAACTAACAAACTCAATTATAAACCAAAACTAAGTCCCAGAAACTTATTAGCAAAACCAACAGAACACTTAGTGCCTCACACCTTCACTTATCTGATAAAATTAAAGAAGCACTGCATAACGTCAGGTTTAAAAAAGAAAGAAGCCACAGACACCTAACAACTCTTTTAATTACAGGCAGCTGTGTTTATGAATTTATCTATAAATTGTGTGTCATGTCAAGCTTGAGTTAGCAGTGAAACATTAATGCCGACCCAACCTAAAACTGGCTGATTATAAGTTACAGTTATTCACTTACAGTAGCAGCTATTCAAAAAGGGCCCTTCCCAGTCATATGCCAGCCGAATGGCAGCATACTCCCCTCCAACTCCCAGTCCATGGGCTTCTCTTACATTTTTTTTTACTCTGAATCCAACCTTTCACAGAATTACAGGGTCTGAACAAGAGATGCCACTTCTCTTTAGATCTTAATGTCCACAAATCATGACAGAAATAATATTTTAGTACAAAGATTGATGTTTACAAAGGAATTGTAGGGGGACCAACCAAGGACCAGCCAAGGGCCCATCAAGGAAAGTGGGGAAATTTTGAATGGCTACTACTGTATGTTCACCCTGCAATAAATCTGACTGTTTTCCCTAAAAAGCATAATCATAATCATTATGAGGAACAGATAGCAGAGAATCTGTTATATGAGTAAAAAACAATACAGCATGTTATATTTTCCCCTCTTGAAAAAAGAGGCTTTTCTCTGGCTTGTTTCAGCTTGGCTTTTGCTTTTTGTTTTACAGGTTGTTGGGTCATTAAAAATATCATTAGTCTTTTGTTAATTTCTATTAAAAGAATTTGGTAAAATTGATTTCATAACAATCAGTAAATACTTCATATCTACAATTCTAACATTTTCAGTATCAATCCCCCCCAAAATGTCACAATTTTTATAATTCAATCCCCTAGCTGCATCTATATATAACCTTCAGTAGCTGTGTCAGGTACATCACTCCGATTTTCTGATTATCCTACAAGCCCCTAAAAAAACACAGAGCATAAAATTAAACACATGCAGGGAATTCATCCAAGCCATCGTGATTAAAATAGACACTCAAACACTCTCTTTTTGACTGTCAAACTAAGTGCAAGTAGGAGCGCAAGTGGGTCGCGTTCAGTGTACGTGTGTGTTGATGAGAGTTATTTCATCTGCATTGCATCATTATAGTGTAATAATTCTGATTTTTTTTTTTTTTCTTTTCAGATTTCTGTTTTCAGATGAGCTAAGCTGTGAATGTTTTATAAATGGGACCTTGTGGACTGTGCTGGAAGCCTTTTGTGTGAAGTGTGTGCTTTTCTTTACAGGAAAGGCTCTTAGAAAACCCTGATTGAGACTTATGGGGTACCAGCTTTCTTTTTTCGGTAGCTTCAGGGTCTCCTTTGACTTGTGTTTTGATCCAGAAAAAAAAAACAGTTTTCTGGTGATTGCTTTTATGAAGGTAATTTCTGACTCCAAGTAAAGAAGCAGATCCCTAAGAACTGAGATTGTGTTCTACATCAAATCTATTGATATCTTTTGTAGATTTTTTGCACATGTTTTTCTATATGAAAAGTAACTAGTGTTGTCTGGCTTATTGACTGAAAACTGCCAACGGGGCAGTCAAAAGTTAAATAGGCCAAACTAAAATATTGGATATACAGTGTCCTGTAAGACTATTCATCCTTGCCTGTCTCAGACCATAGGTAAAGTGGCACAGGTTTTGCTTACGAATACCCTTGTGTTTAACACTTTTCATCGTACCCTAAACTTGGATGAGTTTACCGATACACAATATACCTGTGATTTAACCACCTAAATGCCAATGTACCAGGGCCTGCAATTAATTTGCTAACTTTCTTAGAGAGAAAATTGCAAAAAATCTCTCTAACCACACCAAACCAAATAATGAGAAAACATCATAAAAGCAGATAAATGGCTGTATTTCACTAACTCAAACAAAAAAAAAATTAAAGAAATAAAAAAAAAACAAGCTCATCATCCTTCAGCTGGAATCCATGCTTTTACACTGGAAAAAAAAATCCAAATCTAAATAACTATTATAATTGTTTTTTTTTTTTTTTATTAGTTCAGTGATCTTGAATTGAGGAGGTGAGACACTTTGCCAATGGAACAAGACAATTTACATTTACAATAAGAAAAAAAACAATTGCATTGGCTTACTTCAAATGTATATTATCGTATTTTAAGAGTAAATATACTCATTCCATTGGCAGAATCATCTTGTTTATCTACTCAAAGTAGGGTTATATACATTTAATTCAATGTTGAGTTATTTCTAGATCTTTTAGTCCCATTGATTACTGCATCAATATCTTCACAGGTCTGTCAAAGAACATGATGGACAGCGACAACTTGCAAAAGAGGAGGAGAGTTTTGTGTCGGAGGTCGCGGATGATTCTCCTCCGCATACATTTTTTATTTAGAGGAGGAAAACAGGGATAAATATGTTGTGGAAGAGGACGCCAGGGCGGCAGAAGCTTCGTTTGGTGTAGAAGGCTTACAGCCGTACATGTTTGAGCCCTTGCCTCGCAATGCTGCCAGTTCTGTTAGCTCTACGCCTGCCAAAGACACAGACGTCCATCCCCGTGGACACTGGGACGTAACTCATATATTTTAAAAAAAAGCATATATTCATCTAATTAACGGGGAAAACAGTGATCGAACTATTGGAAATGGATTCTATATAACCGCTGGTTGTGACCCTTCCCTTGACACACATCCATGATAGACTTTCAAAATAAGACTCCAGGTACTCTACAAAATAAAAGCTTCTTCATTATACTCATATATTTATTGCAGCATATGGCTTAATATTATGACCAAAACTCAGCCACTTAGACTATAGGGGGCTTTTATAAACACGCACCATGGCAAATTTCAAAATAAAAGCCTCCCATTGCCACTTAAACTATTGACCTAATAACAGGTAAAAAGACTGATTTGACAATTGGAAAATCGTTAAGTATCATTGCTGGGTCTGAGCCTTTACTTAAAACACAGCCCTGTTAGACATTCAAAGTAAGACTACAGAGACTCTACAAAATAAGGGTCACTACACTATACACATATACATATTGATGCAAATGGCTAAATATCATGACCGAAATTCAACCAGTTTGTTTATATTAGACTCTAGCGACTTTTTCAAAACACACCCCAAAGCAAATTTCAAAATGAAAGTCTCCCATTTGTACTCTAATAAAGCCTCTATTTACCTAATAACAGGGAAAACCAGTGATTTAACATTTGGAAATTGATTCTATATCACTGCTGGGCATGACCCTTGCCTTTACACATATCCATGACAGACTTTCAAAATAAGACTACAGGTACACTAAAAAATAAAAGCCTCTTCCTTATAAACACTGATTCATTGCGGCATTCAGCTCATAGACCCAAACTCAATCAATTTCTTGAAATTACACTACCAAGGCCTGTCGACAACATACCTGAGTGCACATTTCCAAATAAAGCTCATCTATTTCCTCTTCAAAAAAGCATCTACTAACTCGTAACATGCAGCCTAAGCCCACCAATGGTGATTTTGTTGCTTCAATGCATTATGGATATACTTATACTTAGTTTTCAGCCAACATTATGCACAGCTCTCTGTGCCAATGGGCTTGTCCTTTTTCAGTCCTTCAGTTGCCCTCATAGGCATAAGATATCAGTCTTGGGAGCCCCAATGTCGGTTTTGGGGGCCCCTCCCATCAGTTGGGTTCCCCGATGGGGCAGCAGGTGGCCCCCCTTCAAAATTTCTTTTGAAATATTCTAGTTTGCTTTGTACTTGATTGACATTTTTAAATATTATACTGGACATTTGTTTTGATATCTTTATGATGCAATGCATTTTTTATTTCCTTGTTTCTGAAATACGCATTTATAAGTTTCATATTTTTTTACTATACATTTAAGAACCAGTGGCAGAAGCTTGATCAACTATTTACATATTAATTAATTAAACATGTAAAGATGATATCAATTATATTATCATGATTTAATATTAATTAATTAAATATAATTCAAGCTGTTTATTCAGCTATATATAGTCTTTAAAGGGGGAAGATTCAATAAATCCAGGTCCTAATCAAATTGTTGAAGTGTTTTAACAGAACTTCAACTTAATTGCTTCCTGATGATTAGACATGTCAGAGAAAAAAATGTAGAATTGCCTTTTAGAACCACAACTACTTTCAATAAGATTTTATGCAACACAAAGAGAAAAACAAAATGAATTTGTAAAAAAATTATGTTTTTTTACAAATGAAAAATCAGACAGCTACTGTGCGCATTTACTGCATACTTAACATTGAGTGTTATTGACTGACCTCAAATGATAACCAATAGGTTAATAGATTAAACAGTGTGCACTTGAATCTGAGAATAAATACAACTGTATCCTAAAGGCATCAACATCTTGTAAGGGTGATTGACATAGGATCCACTTCTTGTGGAAAAATAAAAGCCTTAAGATGAAGGAAGACTGCACATAAGTCATGGAAAAAGTGCTAGATATGTTCTAAGGAGGGTTAGGTTTAAATTAGTAAAACAAGTATTGCAAATGTCACTTTGTCTTGATTCAGTCCATCCAAAAATAGATAGCACATAACTACATGGCTGTTTAGGTCAACTGACAGCTCTGGAAGAAACTTCTTTAAGCAATGCAGTATCCAAAAAAGCCTTGGCATAGCGTCGCAGGAGCTGCAGATCTAAAGCTTAGTAGAGATCTTCAGTTGAAATAACTTTTCATGGACTACTTGAATGGGCTCATAATGAAGTAATACCAAGAAAGCCATAAATAAAGAATTGTTACAAGATAAGAGATTCTTTGTTTATAACAAGAAATATACAGTAATGTCACCCAGAAAACATGTTGAAAAAGAAGCTCTGACTGGATACAATGCATATCTTGTGTCCTCCATGCAATATTGTATTTAAATATCAAAACTACAACTATAAAACTACCAAAATTGTCTTTGTGTGTATTTTTTAGCAGAGATAGTGAGACCTTTATTAGACCTGAAAAGAGATTAAAGAAGCTAAGCATGGTGGTTATAAACGTTATATAAGATTGACAGTTATATAAGATTCAAGTTTAAAATGAAAGATATATATTTTTTTCAAATCCACAGGAAATCAGTGAAAAATCATAGTGAAAATACTCACGTCCATGAACTCCACATTTGCCTTGGGTCCAGTGGCCTCATTAAGGATCTTGATGGCCACTGGAATTTTCACAGTTTCACCCTCTGGGACCCAAATACCCTTAAGAGGTAAAACAAGTAAGAAAGAAGTTTGACTCATTAAACTGATTACAAACTTAAATTACTGACTGAAACTGTTTTAAAGGAATATACTATAGATGTTGGAGGAAAAAGAGGAATCCCTATTAAAAATGTAGCATTTCCCAGCCTTCCAACTGTTTCATATTCTCACAGGCAGAGAGTATGGAAATGTTCTGCCTGCTGTTTTAATAACGGAATTCTGCCCTTGGAAAAGGCTGAAGTGAAATGATTGAATCTTGTTGAACAATCTAATTTCAGGTTGGATTAAAGTGACTTAGCAACCAAAGCATCTGAAAGGTGTGTGAAAACAGGAGCCTCTGAACTCTGTCATAGTATTAATAAATGTTTAACATTTCCTCCACAGTAACGTGACTGTACTACTAAAATACCCGCTGTCTCCAGCTATCACAAACTTGACTGTTGTTAAAACGACCATATTTTCAACCAAGTTATTAGTATTTATTTGTTGTGGGGATATGCTCATACTAACTTTGATAAATTTAGTAAGAACAATGTTTCAGTCATTAAATAATTATTAATTATAAATACACTATATTGCCAAAAGTATTTGCTCACCTGCCTTGACTCACATACACTATATTGCCAAAAGTATTTGCTCACCCATCCAAATTATTGGAATCAGGTGTTCCAATCACTTCCATGGCCACAGGTGTATAAATTCAAGCACCTAGGCATGCAGACTGTTTTTACAAACATTTGTGAAAGAATGGGTCGCTCTCAGGAGCTCAGTGAATTCCAGCGTGGAACTGTGATAGGATGCCACCTGTGCAACAAATCCAGTCGTGAAATTTCCTCGCTCCTAAATATTCCACAGTCAACTGTCAGCTGTATTATAAGAAAATGGAAGTGTTTGGGAACGACAGCAACTCAGCCACGAAGTGGTAGGCCACGTAAACTGACGGAGCGGGGTCAGCGGATGCTGACGCGCATAGTGCGAAGAGGTCGCCAACTTTCTGCAGAGTCAATCACTACAGACCTCCAAACTTCATGTGGCCTTCAGATTAGCTCAAGAACAGTGCGCAGAGAGCTTCATGGAATGGGTTTCCATGGTCGAGCAGCTGCATCCAAGCCATACATCACCAAGTGCAATGCAAAGCGTCGGATGCGGTGGTGTAAAGCACGCCGCCACTGGACTCTAGAGCAGTGGAGACGCGTTCTCTGGAGTGACGAATCGCGCTTCTCCATCTGGCAATCTGATGGACGGGTCTGGGTTTGGCGGTTGCCAGGAGAACGGTACTTGTCTGACTGCATTGTGCCAAGTGTAAAGTTTGTTGGAGGGGGGATTATGGTGTGGGGTTGTTTTTCAGGAGCTGGGCTTGGCCCCTTAGTTCCAGTGAAAGGAACTCTGAATGCTTCAGCATACCAAGACATTTTGGACAATTCCATGCTCCCAACTTTGTGGGAACAGTTTGGAGCTGGCCCCTTCCTCTTCCAACATGACTGTGCACCAGTGCACAAAGCAAGGTCCATAAAGACATGGATGACAGAGTCTGGTGTGGATGAACTTGACTGGCCTGCACAGAGTCCTGACCTCAACCCGATAGAACACCTTTGGGATGAATTAGAGCGGAGACTGAGAGCCAGGCCTTCTCGTCCAACATCAGTGTGCGACCTCACAAATGCGCTTCTGGAAGAATGGTCAAAAATTCCCATAAACACACTCCTAAACCTTGTGGACAGCCTTCCCAGAAGAGTTGAAGCTGTTCTAGCTGCAAAGGGTGGACCGACGTCATATTGAACCCTATGGATTAGGAACGGGATGTCACTTAAGCTCATATGTGAGTCAAGGTAGGTGAGCAAATACTTTTGGCAATATAGTGTATGAGCTTAAGTGACATCCCGTTCCTAATCCATAGGGTTCAATATGACGTCGGTCCACCCTTTGCAGCTAGAACAGCTTCAACTCTTCTGGGAAGGCTGTCCACAAGGTTTAGGAGTGTGTTTATGGGAATTTTTGACCATTCTTCCAGAAGCGCATTTGTGAGGTCGCACACTGATGTTGGACGAGAAGGCCTGGCTCTCAGTCTCCGCTCTAATTCATCCCAAAGGTGTTCTATCGGGTTGAGGTCAGGACTCTGTGCAGGCCAGTCAAGTTCATCCACACCAGACTCTGTCATCCATGTCTTTATGGACCTTGCTTTGTGCACTGGTGCACAGTCATGTTGGAAGAGGAAGGGGCCAGCTCCAAACTGTTCCCACAAAGTTGGGAGCATGGAATTGTCCAAAATGTCTTGGTATGCTGAAGCATTCAGAGTTCCTTTCACTGGAACTAAGGGGCCAAGCCCAGCTCCTGAAAAACAACCCCACACCATAATCCCCCCTCCACCAAACTTTACACTTGGCACAATGCAGTCAGACAAGTACCGTTCTCCTGGCAACCGCCAAACCCAGACCCGTCCATCAGATTGCCAGATGGAGAAGCGCGATTCGTCACTCCAGAGAACGCGTCTCCACTGCTCTAGAGTCCAGTGGCGGCGTGCTTTACACCACCGCATCCGACGCTTTGCATTGCACTTGGTGATGTATGGCTTGGATGCAGCTGCTCGACCATGGAAACCCATTCCATGAAGCTCTCTGCGCACTGTTCTTGAGCTAATCTGAAGGCCACATGAAGTTTGGAGGTCTGTAGTGATTGACTCTGCAGAAAGTTGGCGACCTCTTCGCACTATGCGCGTCAGCATCCGCTGACCCCGCTCCGTCAGTTTACGTGGCCTACCACTTCGTGGCTGAGTTGCTGTCGTTCCCAAACACTTCCATTTTCTTATAATACAGCTGACAGTTGACTGTGGAATATTTAGGAGCGAGGAAATTTCACGACTGGATTTGTTGCACAGGTGGCATCCTATCACAGTTCCACGCTGGAATTCACTGAGCTCCTGAGAGCGACCCATTCTTTCACAAATGTTTGTAAAAACAGTCTGCATGCCTAGGTGCTTGAATTTATACACCTGTGGCCATGGAAGTGATTGGAACACCTGATTCCAATAATTTGGATGGGTGAGCAAATACTTTTGGCAATATAGTGTATCTCTGGTAAAAGCATTTGTTCAAAACTAAGAATTCACCAAATATTTAAGGTAACACATTTTTATTTGTTTGAAAGTGATTGATGGATTTTGAGTTTTCCTGTGGCATAACTATGACAAGGCATGAAAGAGAATCTTGTAAGATGACTTTTATAGCTAAGAAAATTGTTACAAAAATTGGAACTCACAAAAAATATTTAAAAGATAAAAAGAATGGAACTGTGACAAACAAAACTTAATGAGAGGAACACATTAATTTAGGTGCTGAAATCAGTTTGAAGGATGGGAAAAGTTAGAAGTAAAAGACCTCATATAGAGTATAGGGACATTGTTTGGATTTATTTGATCTTAATTTTCTGTATTAAACCTAATTGATTTTTAAATTCTAACACGCTATATGTGATGTTTGTATAGGCCCAAAAAATATTTATGCATACATATGCATCTTTTATTCTCGTACTGAATTTCATGTTCAAGTCATATTTCAAACTCAGATCTTAACAAAAAAATTGCTTTAGAAAAATTAGCGCAGCTGGATTATTTTCATATAGAGCTTAAACATTTATGACTAAACTGACATGCTTTTTTATGTATTCATTATCTCACATAACAGATTTTGTTTAAAGAAGGGTTTTTATAATTTTATTTTTTTTATTTTTTATTTTATTATTATTGTGAATGTAATGTAACATGCTTCCTATGTATTTATTTACTGTCTTTTAATGGAATTTTTATAGCAGTGATTTTATGTGGAATGCAGTGTGACACATAGTTTGCACTATGTAGCAGCCAGAGTCTGTACCCAAATCAAATTTCCTTTGGGACAATAAATTTAATCTTAACTTATCTTATGATTATTGAAGCAATAGACTATTCCTAAATATTCGAAGCACATCTGTCCTAGGCAAGAATCTCAGTTACACTAAATAAAAAAGATGAAAAAAACATCTTCTGTCAGCTTAAGAGACTTGGAAATGGATTGGGTTTTTGTCAGTTGGAAATCCATAGAAATGTTACCTTAAGTGCGAACAAATCCAAATATTTAATTCCATTATTTATTCAAGACGTATACCTTAAGCCCTCCTGAGAAGTACAACATGTTCAAAGCCCTAGTAAAGGATGTATTTAGTTTTAAGGAAGCCAAGGAGGTTATCTTTTCATGTTTTAAAAAAGTTATAGATGGATTTGTGTGAAATTTTTTAGAGAAGGTGTGTATTGTGACTGGTTATAAATTAATACATTTTGGTGATAAGCCGGAACACCATCTGGATCCAGGAATGTTTTGCAAGATTCTGTGAATACAGCTATTAGCTAAGGGTGGAAGTCACAATATGTAAGGGGAAAATACCTATTTGTGGGGGTCTTTTTCTAGTTTTTATGTAGGCCTACATGAGCTATATGTGATGAATAGGTAAGAGCAATAAAATTAAACAATAAGTACAGCTGCAGAGTAAAGAGTAAATTATCTATATATTAAAATTATGATATAAAACTTTTTCAAGCCAAGTGTAGTCGTTTATCCGTAATTTGTAAAAACAAAACAAAAAACAATGTTTTCATTTGAATTCATTAGTCATATCATATGTTATAAACCTTGTCAGTGATTTCTATAACGGTTTAATCCATTGTATGTATAACCCCACAAAAATAATATGGAGCTAGCCCTCTAATTTTAGCTGTTAGCTTTTCCCTTGATTCTACTATCCAGTATTACAGTGGCAATGGCCTCACTTCTCTCTTATTTCATTGTCACCCCAGGGTTGTCAGTGTCAGCTATTACTTATTGTTTTATTTTACAGCTCTAAGTTTTTCAAGGGCTATGTTAAATAATAGAAGGGACAAACCATTTGAAGTCTAACCCCCAGAGGTTTGAAATTAACTGCACAAGGAAATCAGGTCAACACACTGAGAGACCTTTTACAAAGCTGAATCAACAAAGACACTGATCTTCCTTTTGTATGTGTATTAAGTCATTATATTTATTTTGTATTTACTTTCTAAAAGCCTTAAGCAATGCCAGTTATAACTAAAATTAAACAGTGACAGTAGCTTTACCGTCATCTTAGATAATGAAAAGCAATTGTTCATACAGCGACTCCTTATTGTACCTTAACTTTATCTTCTGTATTTTTCTTGATCATTTTTCATTTAACTGAGTTTAGAATCTGTTTGTTAGCTATTTTCTTCTACGCTTTGCTACACTTTTTTATATAAGTAGATTATAAAGTTTATTTGAATATCTTTAGTTCGGGTGCACATAGTTAAAGGTCTCAAAAGCTCATGTTTTACCTTGTAAACAGTTCCAAAGGCTCCAGAACCAAGAATCTTGACTCTTTTAAGTTCTGTTTCTTTGAGGATGCGAAGCTGGGCTTGATTAGGAGCTGTTCCACTGGGAGTCAGAGGTTCGACCAACTAAAAACACATAACCGAAAACACAAAATGTTTAAACGTTAAGTACTACACTTTTAATTTACACATTTTAAATCCACATTAGCTAACTTTGTAAAGAAAAATAAGACAAAAGATTAACATGTAGACCAATGGTTTGAGTTGTACCTCTTGTTTTTAAACAAAATAAGCCCTCATAACAATTATGTTACATTACCATCGATTTACTAAGATTATAAAAACATATATATTATCCAAAATAGTGTGCAATTAACTTAAAAGCCTTTTTTTCTGTTAACCTAATTTTGCAAATGTCAACAACTGTTAGGTTTTAAGGTGGTTCCTAAAGTTCCTGATGTATCTCTTCACCTCTATGCTGATGACATAGTTGTTTTGGTCACGTGGATACAATAACTCTCATCTGTTACCACATTTGATCCAACCAACTTCCACAAAATCAGGCCACTTCCCAGTATAAGCAGCCCCTTCTGTCTCTTGTACGTTTCATAACCTTCCTGGACAGGATTTCAAGGCACAGCCAAAAGTCAGGGGGGATTTTGTGGATGACAGGGTTTTGCTGGAGTCCTCCTGCCAAGACTCACAGCACGCGCTGCGGTTCTTCTTAAAGTGCTTGCCCTCATCTATCGCCATAAAATCTGGACCATGACCAAATGATCAGGACCCCTTATGAAATGGCTGACATTAGCTTTCTCCACAGGGTGGATGGGCACTCCCTTACCCCAGGCTCACACTCCGGTCTTACCGTTGCGGTGCGGTGGGTGCGGCGCCGCAGTGATTCCAAGTCCTTAAAAAGACGTAAACCTCTCTCACCGGCTGCTGAGCTGTCCGGCTGCGGTTACCGAGACACTCCGGCGCTGCAGAAAATTCTGCAGAGCCGCACCGCACCGTAGTGAAAAGGGCGGTGTGAGAGGGGGTGTACGGGAGTTGCGGTCTCCGTCGGCTCGGTAACCGCACCGGAGCCAGTGTGAACAAGGGGTTAGAGATAAGGTAGAGGTAGGAGCTCAGCCATTGGGGAGAGACTCAGTGTACAGCCGCAGCTTCTGCACATTGAGAGAAATCAGCTGAGGTGGCTTAGACATCTGTTTCAGATGCCCCTTGGACGCCTTGCCTGGCAGGTGTTCCAGGCATGTCCCAACGTGTGAAGGTCCAGGATACGCTGTAGAGTGTCTACAGTCATGGCCAAAAGTATTGAGAATGACATAAATATTATATTTTCACATGATCTGCTGCCCTCTGGTTTTCATGTGTGTATGTCAGATGTTGTCATCACATACAGAAATACAATTGCAATCATATTATGAGTAACAAAAGCTTTTAATGGCAGATAGTAGTGTTGCACCGATACCGATACCAGTATCGGACAGGGCCCCGATACTGCCCTAAAATGGTGGTATCGGTATCGGCGAGTACCAACAAATAGGGCACCGATACCATTTTGAGAGCCAAAAGTTTATTCAACTATTGTCACCCACTCCTGGTAGGCAATAAAAAGTTCTACTGGATTCACTTTGTATTAGATTTTTTCCTGCTTCACAAATGTAGGCAGCAGCTTGACAAAGCCATGATGGCTTTTTTACATTATTATGGTATTGGTATCGGCCGATACTGCACAGCCAAGTATCGGGTATCGGTATGGGAGCTAAAAAATTGCATCGGCGCAACAGTAGCAGATAGAATGAGTTAATGCATATATATATATATATGTATATATATATATATATATATATATATATATATATATATATATATATATATATATATATATATATATATATATATATATATATACATATATATATATATATGTGTATATATATATATATATATATATATGCATATAATATATACATATATATATATATATTATATATATATAATATTTTTTTTAAAGTCAGTGTATAACATGGATGCATAAACACCTCATTTTATTTAAATGTTAAATGCTGTTCAAAGTAACAAATTATAATTAAAATGTCTCCGGACATTTACTGGTTGTTGATTTTCCTTATTCGGACCCCGCTGATTTTTAATTGGTTACCCCTGCTAGACAGAGTCCCTCTTAAGCACTAGAGACAACTAAAACAAATCTCCATTGAGGTCTGACAAAACCCCCCAAAAACCTGCAACCTCTTTTTGATTTTTTTTAATAGTCCACAATTTACCAGTCCTACTGCTAATGCATCATTACCTTTAAGAAGTTTAAGGCTTTGATCAAGGTTTAAAAAAGGCAACTTATGTTTATATGCACCGTATTGCTTTAGTTTTGCAAAGTGTAAAATATGGAACACCAAGATTTGTTATAAAACTTAACCTCTGTGTTAAAGTATTATTCTTTGAAAAACAATTAACGTGCTGCATTGTGTGTCCCAGAATGTAAATTCTAGACACACAGATCAATAAGAGAGCCAATGAAGAGGTCTGAATGTAGCCTCTGTTGTATTAAGCTGAATTATTGCATAGTAATAAATTTTTCACTGCACCACAAAATACTTTAGAAACCAGGGTAAGAAATATGTGATTCCTGCAGATGTTGGCCCTTTTTATTTTCTTGTACCCAAAAATGCATTACTTGTTAACAGTAAATTTTTAATTGATTTAAAACTGTATTTAAGGGTCTGCTGCAACAAGCTTTTTCTAGTGGTTTTATAACCCGATCCAGGTATTAATTGCATTATATTATAAATTGTATTATTCATTAAACAAAACTACACTTCACAGAGTCCCACTATATCTAATTTGTTTGATCATTATTATTTTTAATTTATTTCATTATTATTATTTTATTATAAAGGCTTCTATAAGCAGAAAAATTACCTACTAGACAGATTCACCTTGTTTCGCACTACTAGTCACCATTTTTCTGGAAAAATACTGTAGAAGGGTAAACACAAAACAAGCTGAATCATAGGCAACCTGATGTTTGCTTAGTTTTTCTGAAGATGTTTCGACACCCATCGAGGAGGCTGTCATTTCTGTCGACTTGCAACAAATAACTCCAGTAACCGAGGGATAAGATGGGTCGGTCACTGATCTACATCTGACTCTAAATGTGCTTAGGAGAATGGACTCCTTAAAAACATCAGTGCTCCAACTGCACATTACTACAGTGCGAGTCAACAGACCTGACAAAGACCCCTTGATGGATGTCAAAACATCTTCAGAAAAAGCGCCAGTTTGGTTCCCTGCAGTTTTGTGGGTGCCATGACCCAGGTGACTGAGACAGTGTGCCTGCATGCAAAATTTAAAAATATATATTTTCAGTCACCCCGAGTTGTGTAACAATAAATATTACCCGTCCAGTTGTCTCTCCATATTTGTACAACTAAAGAAGAAACTTATTTCTAACTAATGTCTTTTTTATTTGTGATGAGAGTGTGAGAGCAGCAGTATAATCATATCTTGCATCTTGATGTAACATTCAAGATATCAAGTCAAGAGGAGTCCAGTTCTTTTGAAATGTTCATAAATTTAGTAATCCCTATGTAGAAGCAAAGTCTCCTGCTGTCATTCCTTAAAAGTAAAAAAAAAAAAAAAACAATCCACTGGACTTGGTTTCCAAGATCTGTCCTTTTAGCAGTTGTGGTCCTTTTTTCTACACAGATGATGGGTAAATGTTCTTTGAGCTGTAACTCTTTCAGATGTATGTGTTAATGGACCAAAAAAGTTCAGAAACTCTGGTCTTTCTCTTATACCTACGTAGGGATGGGAATCGAAAACCGGTTCCTGTTAAGAACCGGTTCCGTATTTTCCGATTCCATGGCATCGTTTGGCAGCTCGCTGAATGATTCTTTTTTCGATTCCCGCAGCACCAGAGCCGAGAGCGCCGGCTCTGGGGAGCACGACTTACGTCACGTTTTTTACGTAAGTTACGCAACTTACGCAAGTTACGCAAGTTGGAAGAACTATTCGAGGAGGAAGACAACGAGCTGCGGTCACTTTGTGAATCAAAGCCCCGTCTTTCCTTAGCCCAGAGGGTAGATCAGGAAATCCAGCTCTATAAAAGCTTGCCCTCCATCCCCTGCAGGGATAGCGCCACACTGTGGTGGTGGAACAAGCAAGATACGCTGCCCTTGCTATCTGGACTGGCTGAAAACTACCTCTGTGTGCAGGCTTCCTCCACCCCATCTGAGAGGGTGTTCTCCACGGCTGGAGACACCATAAGCCCTGAAAGATCCCGTATCCTTCCAGAAAAAGCAGATATGCTCATCTTTCTACAAAAGAACTGTTAATTTTCCCTACTACTGTTTTATAATTAGTATTTTTTGTTATTTAAAATAGGTTATTATCCCATCATTTGTTATTAGACATTGTTGGTTATTAAGTTTGTTCTTGTATTCATTTTTCATTTAAACACAGATGTTACTCCAGTTTCACATTTCCTGTGGACATCTTGATCTTTTTGAGTTTGTAAGATTGTGCAATAGTTAAGTAAACAAAGTTTATTCTGATAATCAAACTGTTTGTTCTCCTTTTTCCCCCAAATTGGAATCGAAAAAAGAATCGATTAAGAATCGAATCGTTTCATAGAATCGAAAAGGGAATCGGAATCGTGAAAATCTTTTCAATTCCCACCCTATACCTACGTAGATATTACATTTTGAAAGATGGTTAAAGATGTTTTAGAGTAACTGTGCAAACTTGCCTTAAACATACTTATTATAATTACGCAATGAACTTCAGTTCATTTTCCCCAATTTTACCTTCATCCTCTGTCTTTTTACCTCAGTCTCCAGAAATCGCCGAAGAGCCCTCTTCTTCTTAATGTTCTTCCGACGCACAGACACAGCGATACTTAATACCATGATCACCACCATAAAGAGGCCACCAATCACTCCTGCAGCAATCAGAGGGGTTCTGAGGACAAGTAGATAAGATTGGAAAGGCGTAAATGAGTAGATTAAGAGCAGAAAGCAAGCAATCATTGGGATTGAAACAGTTGATTAGCAATAACATAGAGGTTAGGGACTCAAACATATTAAATAAATGTTTATAGAAACATACAAAAGCCGTCAACAAATCATATACAATATTTCAAACCGCTATGCTTATAAAATTGACCTATGCGTCAAATAATAACAAATACATCCATGGCCTGCCTTGGGAAAAGGTGCTAATTAAATAAGAGTTGAGTGAAAAGGCCCAATTATCAAATTAATTTTTAAAGATATGGTAAAGGTCATTCTTTGTTACTATGTACATTTTTGAATCAAAGGTGATAGCTTTTTGTGGGTCTAAATCTCACAGGGTCAAATATTATCAAATATTGGTGGCCTACGGGTTAGGGCATAGGGCTTGGAATCCTGAGGTGGTGAGTTTGAAACCCACTCCCACAGACTGTCACTCTGGGTCTCTGAGCAAGACCCTTAACACCCAATTGCTCCCCGAGTGCTGCACAGTGGCAGCCCACTATTTCCCAAGGGAATGGGTTAAATACAGAGATTTAATTTCTCCATTGTGAGATCAATAAAGTTCAATTCACAATATTTGTTTATTCATCTTCTTGTCTATTTTATTGATGTTGCTCTTGTCTGTCTGTATAGTAGGGTGACCATGTCTTGATTAATTACTGGTTGTGTCAAGATTCCAAAGCTGTTCAAAGCTGTTGAAATTGAATCAGCAACCTAAGCTTCTTTTGAACTTATCCACAGCTTTGTTTTCTACCTGCCATGTGTCTTTCTTTGTCATCAGTGGGTTATTTGTTTAGAAATGCTAAAACATTCCCACTTTAAAATCGTCAAATACTGATGGCCGGTCAAGAGAATGGTTGACAATATATAACTTGCAGATGGTATCCCTCTCATCATAAATTCATGCACACGGTGCATGTTTGGATAGGTTGCAGAGATTGTGTCATGTGACAGACACGTGACCTGCGATGAAAATTATGACTTATAAAGTTGCTGTTGGTAGCGTTACCAGTGTATGGTAACATGTTTAATAGCGTTGTTTAGTTTTAAGGGTTAGGTTTAGAGTAAAGGATGGGTTAATGTTAGTTTAACAGTTTGTAGTTCATGAAAATTTTTCATGAGTTTTTGCCACAACCTCTAATGCTACGTTTAGACCTAAGTCAGCAGATACGGCAGGAGCAGCTAGTTTACAGAGAGAGACACCGCTGATGATACAGATCACTATGATCACTCCTCTGAAACAGTTTATTAACGACTAAATTAATTTAAAATGATGAAATCAGCTGGCAAAACTTGTTCACTTTTATTATGTACATGAAAAAAGCTTTCCATTTGAATGCAGGATCGTAATCTTGATGAACTGACTGCACTGATGAAGTTTTCATGTGGAGTTTCTTACTTAAAAACATATTAAAACTACTTTTTACCCACTGATCACAGCATACATAGCTGCCATTGTTACAGGCGAAGAGATGACAGGGTAGCACCGCCCAACGCGCATCAGACCCAATTTTCCACTGTGCAGCTACAGCAGCAGAAATGTTTCCACTGTGCGTCAAAACTAAACTTGTACAAGCATCAAAAATTATGCAGCGCTCGCCTTTTTGCTGCTCTTGCTTGTTTTAGGTGTGAACGTAGCATAATGCACCCTGGCATTATTAAATGACATTGCATCTGGGGACTTGAACAAGCATTAATTTTTTACAATTTAGGATTGAGACTACAGTAGGTTGGCTGACCAATCTATCCCTGACATATTTACATTTAGCTGCAAAGTGGAGCCTAGCAAGCAAGAAGGTTCCGGGTTCGATTCCCAGTCTGGGGACATAGAGATTGAATGTTCTCCCTGTGCATGCGTGGGTTTTCTCCGGGTACTTTGGCTTCCTTCCACTGTCCAATTGGCTTCTCTTTGGTGTGAGTGAATGATTGTTTGTCCTGTTTGTGTGTTGCCCTGCAATAGACTGGCGGCCTGTCCAGGGTGTACCCTGTCTCTCAGCAATTGACAGCTGGACATACAGTAGGCACCAGCACCCCTCCAGACCCCAGCTGGGATAAGCGTTATGGATAATTAATGGAATGAATGGACATTTACATTTAATTTTAATCAGTACCAGCATGTAGGAGAGTCAGGGTGAAGATGGTTTTTAATATATAACTCAATAACTATGCCTCCCTTTTTTCACTACTATATGACATAAAATAACAGTTTCGGGTATTATTTTAAGAAACATCTGCAATGCCCTGTACTTCAACATGTTGGATGGAAAAGAGGACATAACCCTGTTCTGTGGTGCATAAAGTCTACTCCCATTAACCGAGATTCATTTGAAGATACACTTTCAATTATTTGCGCTAAAAGCAATGAAAGATAGGATGTTTGTGTGTAAATATGCAACTAAATAAAAAGATAAGCGCTAATCGAATAAGAAAATATTCAAATGGCAAACTGAAGCATATCATATGAGCCATTACTACAAGAGTTTTATTAGACTAAATTTTACAAGTCTAATTGATTTAAAAAGAATAATCCATTCCACGCAGACAGGCACACGATCCCAGATAAGATGCAAGTTAATGCAAGGATGAACAATGGCCTTAGAAATGCTTTGTGTAATCACATATTTCTGATAAGCCACTTCTAAAAACCCTGCAACAGGTAGCAGATTTGTGTAACAACTCACTCTAACAGTCTTGGCAATGATACAGCTGCATGTTAACTGGAGCTCTAAGGGATCTGATAAGAACTGATCAATTCACAGGGTAAGCAAATAGCTTTTTTTCCCATTGGAGCTCGAGGTTCTTTTATCCCATTGGCAGTGTATCCAGTGCTTACGCGTAGGGCTCACAACTCTTAATTTTATACCTTTTTGTTTTTATATATATCTTTATGTTGAACTGAAATTAAAAACAACTGCTCATATTTGGCATAAATAATGATATATATATATATATATATATATATATATATATATATATATATATATATATATATATATATATTTATATATATAAAGTTTGAAATTTAGTCTTAGAAGAAGCTTTAGAATCTTGAAAAAAAAATTTGACACAGTACATCACACTTAATAATACTCCATACATGCAATTATTTGTTAAGTTTCACTCATAACTTTCTATTCTCTCTGTTTTTTCTTCTAATTGTCTAATTGTAGCTTCATTTGGTCTGTGTCTGTTCAGCTGTGACACCATCGTGGATTCAACTATCCGATGTGATGCTTCCATCAGCATCTCTGTTTAGAGATGTTGGAGCTTGACCTGTTTTCAGTGTAGTCCTGTTTTTTACTGTGACTTCTGAATGTGCTTTCTTTCATCCTCTGACACGAGAACCGGCTTGGAGCTTGTCTGCCTGGCTGTGTGTTTCATGGAGAGGGCAACCTCATACTGAGCCTGGTTCTGCTAGAGGTTTCCTTACTGTTAAACAGGAGTTAATGAAAAAATGTAAGCCAAAATCATCACTGCAAGCTCATCCAGGAGGAGCATGTCTTGCAAGCCGAAGACTGGATGCTATTAACTAGTATTCCTTGACAGGACCTTCAAACCAAAGTGCCTTGAGATGACATGTTGAGAAGTGGCATTATAAAAATAATCTAAAATAAATTATATCAGATCACAATAACAACACATTTTTCACTATAGATCATAATCTTCATTATTACAGTATAGTTCTAAGTAATACTTAATAATCATAATATGACATACAGTTTTCTGACCTTACTTCAATACAGCTTTTAAGCAAAGGCTTAAAAGGTTTGTATGATAACATAAAAAATAAATGGAATAAAAACAGACAAAAAACAAAAAAAAAACAAGCGGACTTGCCAAAGTTGAAGAGGTGGAGAAGTTGAAAACATGGCTACTATACGTCACAAATCAATACCTGAAACTTTAAACAGCTCATAGAATACAGTTTAATCCTAAAAGAAAAAACAAAAATCCAAGAGGTTTATGTGAGCTTTTGATATGCCACTGAGTTTAGTTGCTCAGGTTGGATAAACTGTTAACAACAGTTTTATATAAAACAAATCTATTCTTGATGGCAGAGTCTAAAGAGGAAAGCAGTGTTAAAAGACACCAGTACGAAGGCTCACTACAGTATATCTAGGTAATTTCTTTTAAGAATGACTGCCAATTCACAGCATTGTTAGCAGGAGCACTTTACAATACAGATTTGATTTAAATTAAGCTATAAGGACAAGTTAAAGTCAAACATTTACATTCCAATTGATCCTGTTTATCAAGCAATGCAGTAAAGGTAAGTGTATCATTCAAATTTGTTTCACTTTCTCCATCAAAGGAAGGCCATCAGATTGTAGTAAATCAATGACTTGGAGCATACAGTCCTCCTGGATTAAAATGCAGCAATAGCTTCTTGGACTGGGTCATTGACATTGCCACGGATTGTTAACACTGAGCATGCATGTAGTGAGAATGAGAGTGGAAAGAAAAACTCCCATTTACCAAACCAGGCTTAGTGTGAATGGCCATCTACCAAGATCAACTGGAGGTTTGAAAGGGCAGTGCATACACACATGCAACAAACACCAAAGCACTGATTCTACTAATTTTTTTGTGTGAGAAAAGCTAATTGTAGTACTACAGTAGCTCTTAGTTGTTTTAATCTAGAAGTAATAGACAACAGAAAAGCTCTGTTGGAGGAGAGCATACTTAAAGTCCCAGTAAAAACTATTTCCTAATTGAAAAAGTCACATTAAAAACATGTCGTGTTTGGTAGCCACAGCAGCGGCACAACATTTAAAGCTAAGCCTAGTGGTTGGCATCATGATCACATGCTTGTGTATCTGCTGGTCATACTAATAATACCATCCAAATCCTCGGTTGAAGAAGAAGATTGCCCTCTGCGCAAGATGTGCTTTTGGACAGTGACAGCCATAGGATAGGACTAATAAGATCTCTTGTAACCTTTGCTAAATTCAAGATAAATTTATACGAACCTAAATTTAACAAGCAACGAAGGCAGACACCTCAGTGCTCAAGTTGTCAATCAAAGTGTGTTGAAATTGTTGGATTTTATGAGTTTTAATTGCAAGGTGAATGTACTGAATTCCTTGGTAGCTGTAACCATGCATTCTGTGTAAACCGGTACATATAATTCCTGTTGTTTCTTTGCGCATGCAAAGATAAAGCAAATATATAAGCATAATCTGCACATTAAACATGCTTTTGGAATCTAGAACACATTTAAAGTTAGAAGTTAGAAGATTAGTCCAAAATTCAGGTAACATTTCATTTTTTTTTTTTTTTATTCAGACATTTCAGAAAAACACAATTTGGTGCTGTAGTTATAATGACCCCAAGTCAACAAAAAAGTGTACCTGAAGGTAAGGGTTTTGCATAAAGGACAGTACATTCTCTCATCAAGTTTGCTTTTTATAATTACAACCTTTGCACAGAGTCATGTATATCAGGATTGTTATGTACATACTCCACTTTTACAAATGTGAAACCAGGTCGAAGGAGACATTAATTCTATTTCTCCACATGAGAAGGTGCTATACAGTATGTGCTTGTTCTTGGCTTTCTAAGGCTGGTAGAGAAACCCGTAAATTATATTTAAACCCCCCATATAACTGGCCAATACACTTTCAGATTTTTTTTAATTTAGTTTGTCATATAATCCCAAAAACGCAATGAAGTTTGTCTCAGTATGGTGATAAAATGGACCAATAAAGAACCTTGTAAAACCTTGCTGATTTTGATTAATGATGTATTTTACCATGTTTTTTGTAACATGTTAGAAAAAAAAAAAAATTTTTCTATACATCATATAACCGTACTATAATTTTTTTTTTCTTTAATCTTTCCCTAATTGCCACAGTTTGATGCAAACTTTGTCATTGATGGCATCATTAATCCATTGTAGTAAACTGGGAACAGCATTTGCTTTCCATTTCTCCCACATACCCTGAAAGACAAAGGCTAAATCGCAATCAATTCATCAAGAACTGGGTAAAATTACAAGGACACGGGCCAGCATGCACAGAGGCATTAAGGATACTCACAGGGACTGTGTGGCTCAGAGCAATCTATTAATCAGAGACTTTCCTTACTGTTATTCTTTTGTGTATCCATGTGTGCTGCAGTGGTAGTGTTCTAATATAAGAATGTGAAACGATTCTTTTAAAATGAAGTTAATACCTGTCCATCCAGCCGATGCAGTCTTGAAGTCTAGGTCCAATACACCTTTAGCAGACAGAGAAACAATAAAGAACTGTTAAGCTAAGAAAAGGGACACAGTAATGAGTAATTAACAAGCATTAGCCTTAGGAAAAAGCTTGAAATAGATATTTCTTTCAGGATAGTTTACTGAGTGTCAAGCACTTGTGAAGACATACTGATGGTACACTCATGTATACTATCGGCATATTTATGATAACATCTTTGAAACTTTTTAGTTTGATTCTATTTTCCATAATTGTAGAAGGATTTGAAACTAGCATTCCAAAGATAGCCATGTTCTAATGAAGATCTTATTTTTCTTAGCTCGGTTGCCATAACCCATGGAATTCTAGTATATGTAAACCATGGTCAATGTTTTAATGGTTTAAAACCTATGTTTCTTCCCCTTTAGTGCGGTACTGTTTTTCATTTCCCCTCCAACTGGCTGATCCTCTATTTTTTTAAACACCTACCTGGTTGTGAGGTTGTGCCCACAATAAAGAGTCAACCTAGTGTTTTCCATTCATGATGGAATTGTTATGCTCAAGAAGGCTGGAGGTTGTCACTCAGGAGAGGAAAAATAACACAGAGACTGTGACATAAACCCCCTGTGGAGTTAAATACAAAATGATGTCTTTCCAAACCAGGTTGAATATTACATTGAGCAGTAAGTGGCTTGAAAGCAGTGGAGAGTGACAGGTTACTACAATGAATCCCCTCACTATGATGTGTTTTTGCTCTTGCTTATTTTCTGCTTCTTGCCTTTATTTGATCTCATTTCTATAAACAGATGTTTGAATTATGCATTTATATGAGTACAACTTGGGCTGTAGCAGTTTTGTAAGTATGTTTCTATGAAAATCTAAGTAGAAGTCCACTGAATAAAAATGTATGAATGAGAGAAAATGAAGGAATCCTAAAACTAATCAGGATTAAGTGTCCTACAAACCTTGTTCATCAGTTAATGTTTTGTCAAGAACCATCAGTGAAAGTTGCTCTCAAAATCTTTTAGTGAGGTAAAAAGCGAGACTTTCATCAATAATTTCTAGACTTTATATCATCTATAAAATGAAACAAAGCCTGTTTAATCGAGTTAATTAAAAATAACCAAAATAAAACAATTATAACCCCGTGTTGTGGACCCTTAAAGGAATAGTACACCCAAAACATGATTAGCCTTCATTTTCTACTCACCCCCATGCTGAACAACACTCTGGAGTACTTTTTTGATATCTCAAATGCATCTGGAGATCTGGGAGGCTTCTTGCTGTCTGCTGACATTCAAATAATGGAGGTCTATTGTGCCCGAGACAGAAAGGTCCATAAAAGTCCACAAAAAACGTGTCAATATTCTTCCATACTGCTCTTCCAATGTATTCCAAGTGTCCTGAGTGGGTAGCATCCAGAATTTACTCGAAACGAAGTCATTTAGAATGTTTTTAGAGCATAAACAGTAGTGTATAGGATTTCCTGAAAGCGCGCACATGCGCGCTCCCGACGCTACGGAAGCCGGCAGACCAAACCAGCGCATTCAGCTCGGCAAAGAACTCATGCTCTTCCTCAACACTGAAGTCCTCAGACATTTTTCTTTCGTTGTTTCTTTCTTTGCACAGGTAAACAGCACATTTCTTCTTCTACGCCTGCATTATTGGCAGAGCAGACGCTGAATGCGCACTTTCATCTGGCTTGGTCTGCCGGCTTCCGTAGCGTCATGAACGCGCCGGCGCGCGCTTTCAGGAAATCCTATACACTACTGTTTATGCTCTAAAAACATTCTAAATGACTTCGTTTCGAGTAAATTCTGGATGCTACCCACTCAGGACACTTGGAATACATTGGACGAGCAGTATGGAGGAATATTGACACGTTTTTGTGGACTTTTATGGACCTTTCTGTCTCGGTCACCATAGACCTCCATTATTTGAATGTCAGCAGACAGCAAGAAGCCTCCCAGATCTCCAGATGCATTTGAGATATCAAAAAAGTACTCCAGAGTGTTGTTCAGCATGGGGGTGACTAGAAAATGAAGGCTAATCATGTTTTGGGTGTACTATTCCTTTAAGGTCATACTTAACCCATTGTAAAAGCATAATGCTGCCCCCAGAAGTCATTTCTTATTTAAAAATGTAATTTAATTGTATTTTAAACTTTCTATACATTATCATTTGCATGCTTTTGTTGGAGACAAAGCTTGTTGACACGTCAGAGTGGGATTGTCTCAATGAATACTAGGGAGGCTAAACCTCCCCTGTAAATTTTATAAAATTATTGGTAAAATATTCTTTTTCAAACTGCATTAAGCATGCATTAAGCATGTGCAAAATGCGCCTGGTTTCATGATTATGTTGCGCATTAATTAGCTGTGCATTACGCTCTCAGGATGAAATCTCTCCTCTGCTCTGCTCTGCTGCCTGTCAACCTCTATCAGAAATCCCTTTTGAGTTTTAAGCCTCGGTCTACTGAGGTAAGCAACGAGAAAGAAGAGCCCTGATTGGATAACACACCAAAGTACGTCACTTCCAGTGAGACTAAACCTCTCAGGTGGTCTTTGGAGCAGGGACAAGTTGTAAAGCTTTCTGCTGGATGCTGATGTTTGACCAACAGTGGCCATGCAGCGAGGAGGATGCACCAATGAGTCGAGAGGAAAAGTGATCATTCAGTGGTTGCCGTGGTTTCTGGAGCTTATTATTTAAGAGCGCTTCACAACAGCTATTTTGAACCTTATTGCATTTTAGAATGCAATATGTGACATTTGGATTTAATTAACACCACTGAGTGTCTCCTGTTTCAGGAAGTAGAAGCAAAGAATGTTTAAAATCTTGTAAGGTTTCCTTAAAGCTACAGTGTGTAACTTTTAGCGACATCTAGCGGTCAGACTGCAGACCGCAGCAACATGAACATCTCCCCCCACCGCTTCTCCCCCCCAACAGTACGGTGAGCGTTACGGGACAAAATGTCTTCCACGATGTCTGCATCACCTACCTTCTCAAGTGATGAGGTTTGTTTACGTAGATAATTTAACAGATAGTATTTCATTAGTCTGTGTAGGGTATAGATTTCATGTAGACTTTAGATAATAAATATACCCGTTATTTTTTCTACATCGTTGTGACGTTTTGGTGATCTCGCAATCGCTAGTCTGTTGGCTCTGCGCTGCAGTAGCGCAAAGATGTCTGCCTCCATGGCTGCGAGACCCGCTCCTATGTAATTATAAATAACGAATTCTAAGGCAACGCAAATATTAAGGTTAAGAGGCTGAGCTCGTAGATGATGATAAATAACATAGTTATGTATAATATATTACATCTCTGACTGTATATCCCTGTAATTATTACACACTGTAGCTTTAAGAGGACTAGGACTAACAGATCTGACAGTTTGAAAATTTGGATAATTATAACAAGGTAGACCAGGCATATTAACACCAAGTCAAGGTAGAAATGCTTAAAAATTTCAACAAAGATAACAGAATACTACATTAACCTAAATGTAGATTTAAATAGCAAAGTCTTCAATTAAGCAGATTTTACATTATGTGAAACAAACAGTTTTTTTTTCTTTCTACTACAAAGAGCCCTGGTTACTGTACATGACAGCAATCAACTGAAAAAAAGCATTTTTCTGTCATTTCTGTTAAAGGAGTTATCAACCGGAAATCTGACTTTTTCATGTTAAAATGCGGGTGTTGGACTTCAATTAAAACCTGTTGGAAAATCCAGATTGTGAAAGATGCTTGTTTTTTTTTGTTGATTTTTTTCTGTGAGCCTCCAAAAAGTGCAATTTTAGTCCTCCTTCTTTATTTACATCAATACTGGAAGGGTGCTAACATTATTCCACCTTGCTATTACCACCCTCCTCTCTTTTCCACCAAAAAGGCAATTCCAACAATCAAGCAGATAATTCCAACCTGTAGGTAGGTAAGTGTTACTGCTTGTGCAGGAGACTGCTAAAAGTGCTAAATAAATTGTGGCAAACTGCTGACCCTATCGATATGAACGTGCAAACACACAAGTCAAGTTCTAATACATATGCTCAAGAGAAAAATAAAGGGAAAATGAAAGATTAATATTTTATCTTTTTTCTCCCAAAAAAAGATTAAATATTAATCTAGAAGAAATATATTCAACTTAACCAACAACTTGTTGAAACTGTGGAGCCTTTAAATATCTTGGTACCGTCCTTGACAGTCACCTGAGCTTTTCTGCTATCACAGATTATATTTTTAAGAAATATTCACTGAGACTACATCTTCTTAGAAGATTAAAATGTGTCAGTCTAAATATTTTAGAGCATGTGCATTCTGTTCATATTGAGAGTGTTTTGACCTTTCACCTATGTGTACTCACTTGAGTTCCAACTACAAGATGAAGTTAAATAAGGATGTGAAAATGGCTGTAAAATTGTAGGGAAACCCAAGAAGTGTCTCACCCACATCTATGATGACAGGACATAGAGGAAGACTCAGATTATTGTAGCAAACATTTCTTACTCTTTGTCCTGTCAGTTTGGCTTCTGAGGTCTGGGATGTGCTACATGGTTCCACTGACCAAATGTTCCCTAAAAAGATCCTTTGTCCCTAACGCCATCACTGTCTTGAATTCAAGAAATAAAGTATTCATTCATATGACCTGAGCTGCTCTAGTTTCATATATTTTATTGGACCGCTTTTTATCTGTATTGATGTTTTTTTTCTTTTTATTGTTCGTTTCTTTTGTCAGCATTTGTATTTTAGTACCACCTGTCAGTGGGCCAAAGAAAATTTTCTTATTCTATTCTATTCTATTCTATTCTATTCTATTCTATTCTATTCTATTCTATTTTGTTCTATTATATTCTATTCTAAATACTTGATATTCATTTAAGAGGTACTGTACTGTACTTGGAAGAAACTTTTTACCAACTATACTAGGATGACAACAAAAACAGAAAAAAGAAGCATCCCTGTCCTGTGCTTTCTCGTATCTGAAGTGGAATAAACTGAGATCTATTTGAAACAGCTAGGATGTCTTGTTTGCCGGGGAGGAAAGGTCATATAAGCGCAGCACCCTAATGTGTCTTCAGGACAGACTGTTCTTACCCTTGGGTGCAGTTGGCATGGCATGGATGGCATTCGTTGTTTACTTCCGCATATTTGAAGATAAAGCTATTGGCACCTTGCAGGCCATCAGGGCACTTTTCCACGCAGTTTGGACCGTCCTTGAAATGAAGGCATTTCACACAATGTTCTGGGCCCTGTGGGTAACATTGAAAAAGGGAAAACATTTGTCTTTTAGATGCTTATTTTTGAAAACAATCATCTTTGTAAGAGTTCAAGCAATACACTTTCCTGCACAGACCTGGCAGTAATTTCCCAGTAAAAAACAATTGGTTTTCTATTTGGCTGTTTTGAGGTTTGTAGCTGGAGGCAGCCGTTAAAACCACTTCCAATATTATTGAACTGAATTTTCTGGAACGGATGGTTGTATATAAAGAAAACGTATGCTGGTAAACCTAATGAAACAAATTCAACCGAAAAGGAAAGGTATGCTCACATTTCTTGTTATAAATCTTCCAAATTTTTTTTGTTTGTTTTTTGCTTTTTTGTTTGCAGGTTACCTACAATAACAATAACACGTGTATTGCATAAGATTAATTTGTGAATTCTAAAAAAAAAAATAAATATTCACATTTGCTTAAAGTTTTTGTTTTGTTTGTTTTTTACTGTCACAGTGTAAAAGTTTATACATAGGTTGAGTACAGGTTTTATCTATGGTAGGTCATAGGTTAAGATTTAACTGTAGAAATCTGTCTATACTTTGAGAAAAATTATGCTACATCTGGCAACAAACCCCTTTAAACCTTTAACTGTGCATTTAAACAACTTACTACACAAAACATAGAAAAAACCCATTCTAAGAAGAAGTACAGATTTATTAAATGGTATATTTTATACCATAATAGTTTATCTTTCTCAACGCAAACAGCTGAAAGCTTTTTTTTTTTAGGTTGTAGCTTCTTTGTCAAATATTATTTAATTTTGCAAAAAGGGAGTAACCCAGGCTTAACAGATGAACCAAGTTCTGGTCCCTATTATATTTCAACCCTTTTTTCCTTGCTGTGGGTAATAGTTTTGCCTTTTTTGGCAGATTTTAGAGTGCATAACATTAAATCAATAATGTCCAATGGTATAGTTGGAAAAAAAGTCTCAAAGTAGCTAGGGCTGCAACAACGAATCGATAAAATCGATAAAAATCGACTTTTAAAAGCGTTGGCAACGAATTTCATCATCGATTAGTTGTGTCGCGCGATTATTGCGTCATCCGCTGCGCCGTCATCACTGCCTCTTGACTGAAAGAGGAAGGAAAAAAAATACGGCAGAGCGAGTCAGCGCCGCAGGAGCAGTGTTGCCAACTCCGCGACTTTTCAGACCCCTCCAGCGACTATTTTTCAAAAAAGCGACTAGCGACAAATCTGGCGACTTTTTTCGGTGTCACTGGTGGCTTTTGGAGACTCTTACGTGAAAGCATGTATCGTTCCTACTCTGCCGTGGGGCGCCTCCCCCACCCCAACCGCGTTTTCCCGCAGGAGTCCCTCTCAGTCAGAGCCTCAGCGTCCAGACTGCAAATGAAGCGCGCATGCACCGGGATTGACGGCGCAAATTGATCACAATAATTAAAATAGCCTGCGCTTTGTAAAGTGAAAAAAGTGATAACATGCAACTTTTTTCAAAAGAAATTAACATGGCACGGAACCACCATGTTTGTTTGGTTTTAAAGTGGGGAAACGTAACGTTAGTTTCTCAGGTAGCTCATCTGATGCTTTCCTTACCGTGTTAGTAGGTTACAGACAGTGATAAGGTTGGCTACTTATTTTACTTTAAATTTCATTTGAATTAGCTTAAGCAGCGTTTACATTTACTTTATAAATAAATTAACTTGCAAATTATGAGGGCAAGACTTTTAAAGTTTAAATCTGGCAAAGATAAAGTAAAGATGATCCTGCAATTTATAGAAGTAAAGCAGAATAAAATCCAGCAAGATCAGTAATATGTCAATTAATTATATGCCACATTCCCATGTAAATATCTGTCTTTGGAGGATGTGTTTTTTAGCACCCCTAGTTCTCTCATTTTTATTCCAAATACAATTTATAATTTGAATCACAGGGCTATTTTTATCTCTATGGTTCAGTATTTTCTCAAGTAGCAACTTTAACTGCTGTACTTTCCTGTCTTAAAAGGCAGAACTCTTCTAGTCTAAAAAAAACTCATTTGTTGAAATGGGGGGGCCTATTGTTTGAACCCCTTAGGGGCTTTTAAAAACAAAAATGTCTTTTTTTGCGCTTTATGAAACAAAGTACCCTATATTTTGTGGATGTACATCTACATTTCTCATGTAAGTTTGCGTAGTTTTAACACAAACATTTATTTTTCATATTGCACCAGTACAGTTAATGAGCAACCTGTACTTGTGTGCTTGTTTGTTCTGTCTATAATGTTTATTTTGGAATAAAGAGGTTAATATAAAAAATATTTTTTGATTCATCGATTAATCGAAAAAATAATCGTCCGATTCATCGATTTTTAAAATAATCGTTAGTTGCAGCCCTAAAAGTAGCACAAATTGAAAAAGCAAGGTGTGTTGTACACCTATGTACTTAAATGAACTTCTCTATTATATTGTGTGTGGCTAACTCTAATGATCCCTTAAAATGAACCTGTAGACCTAACTAATGAGAGCTGATAAGGCTTCAGATTTCAAACAGAATTTTGAGAATCAGAGTCATTGTAGTAAATAAGTTGTTGTGATATAATTAAATCTTTATACTGCTACATCCCCATTACTTAAAATCAGAAATTTCAAAATCTAATTGCTGTATTGTAACCTTGCGAGATGAATTGTGAATTCACAAACTCCCAAAAATACAACTTGCCAGAGCGAGAAGAAGCTTTGGCCTTGATACATAAATGTTTCCGGACCAATGAAATGCAGACATGTATGACATCGACGTATCAAAGAGAGGCGAAACAAAACAAATGTGGCTGCACCAGTTGCAGCTGGAATACCCTCTACTTCTTGTCTAGAAAAGGATGTGATTTTTGCCTTTGTGGATGTGAAGATGTTTGTGCGCTTCCCCAAACTTGATTTGATAAGAGTTTGATTAATCAATGAACTCTGCCAGTTGTGAAACAATTCAAACTGCTACTCCTGCTGTCATTGGCTAAAAGGTCTACATGGGAAGCAGGTACTCAATCAGCTCAAAGAGTTGTACTTATTGTCCTTCCCTTTTGCAAACACTTACTATAGGAGGATTTCCAGATTGATATGTGTATCATAATTTGAATTCTACACAATATTAATGTGGCTTATGTCAGGTTACCCTACTTAAGGGTTCATAGCAATTACTTTCTTTATATATTATGATATTACAAGTTTAAATTAAATTTTTATTTGAATTTCATGCAAAAGACGAGGACAATAAACAACATATTTATGAAATAGAATGTTTTTTTCAATTTGTGTGCGCTACTAACAACTGTTTTTCACACATTCTCAGTCAAAGGGTATCTGTATGATTCAATTGAATTGTCTCTGAAAAATGTCTTGAGATGACGTGTTGTGAATACATTATATACATTATATAAATAAACTGAATTGAAGTTCAGTCTAAAATTGGAATGGGGCCTTCTAACTAGGGGTGTAAATAATAATCGTTTTGTATCGATGCATCGATCCAAAAGCCGACGATCCGATGCATCGACACGTCCGCAAGATAATCGATTCATGTTTTTTTTTTTCCTCCGGTCTATTTTTATCCATTTGCTCCTGGGCGTAATTCTCCGTCCCGTGCTGCGGTGGCACTAAACATATTTTGCCCTCCTACCTCGCTTCCTGGTTATACACTTACAGCAGTGTGTTGCAGCAAGCTTGACACAAACATTTTTAAATTATGCTCAATATTGAAGCGTGGTCTGTGCTACACGCTGTGGGTCTAGATACGGCCGAGGCGGCGAGGAAGTGGGGGCGAGTTTAGCCGACGACGGAGGGACATGAGGGCCAAAAAGAGCGGAGATCCAGGCTGAAAAAGTGTCCCAGTGTTCTCGCGCACCTCGCTCTTCTAGCGGGTCAAACTTCACGAGTTGTTTTCCAGAATTTCGGTCATAAAAAACAAAACAAGCTGGCCTCCTGTCTGCGGCACTGTTTGCGGTCAGCTACAATTTGGGAGAGGTGCAGCGGAGCGTCTGTGGAGGGGGAGGGGACGTCTGGAGCCGAGGTATTGAATTGCACTCATTGCATTGATTATGTGCAGTATTTTTGCAGTATTTTTTGATGCAACTTTTCTACTTCTGTTATTTGCTGTTGTTTCTAAAAAAAATTGCAAAACGATATTACAGCTTTCATTGATTTATTTCAAACTTGAAACTTTGTTTAGCCTGTAAGGTGTAAAAAAAAAAAAAATTATCGATTAATCGAATTGAATCGAATCGTGGTGTATTCTTGAGTATCGAAAATAATCGAGTTGTTGGGTCAGAAAATCGATACTGAATCGAATCGACATGTTAGGTGTGATTTACACCCCTACTTCTAACACTGATCTGCATTAACTGAATACCTTTTAGAATAGAAAATAGCATAGAAAATCCATTTATTGTCCCACAACGGGGAAATTCTGGAATTTTTTTGTTTTATGATTAAGGATTATTTCTTATGGCAAAGGGAATTTTTATAGTCCACCAAATGTACTATACAGCAAGTAGAGTAAAATCATACATTTTTGTCTTGTTTTATCTGAGAGCTTTGTTCTAAATATTTGCCATGTACGGAATAGGACCATGGCAAACTTGAACATGGATTTATTACAGACTTTTTTTTTTCACGAATAGCTTTGTACTTGCCACTCTACTTCAAGGGATATCTTTAACCAAAAGTTTTTGTTATCCCTTCTTATCCCTGATCTATCTGGTGTGTGCTGTGCCCTTCACATTGTTTTAATAGAAAGCCCCCAATAGAAAATCACATCTAGTCTGTGATCAAGGGACACACATTTGGTCAAAGACAAAAGGCTCTTAATTGATTTTAAGTAAATTGATTACTTTCAGCTTATCACATGTTAAAACACCATTTTTTCTTTTAATGCAATTTAAGATATAAGATATACTTTTGTTGTTAGATGATAACATGGAATTTTTAATTAATAAACTATGGAAATTATCAAATACAATGTAAAGTTTTGCCACTGTTAGTTCTAGTTATGCTCAATGAAGAATTTTGTTAAAAAAACAATTTTAGGTTGCAATGTTTGCTAGCTATACATGCAGATCAGACTTTATGTTCCTCAACTATTTGCATCTTTATGGGGAAAACAGCTTGAGAGTGAGGTAGATATAACTAAAACAAATAATGTGAAAGTGGTGTTGTGGGTGAAGGAAAGTATAAAATAAAAATAGGTAGTGCACACTAATAAGTGAAGGGAATAGGAGAGGGTGGACAAGGATGTATTACAACCAAGTGGAGGAGAAAGACAGTCAGAGAAGTCTAATAAGAAAGAGAGAAAATGAGAAGGAAAAAATTGAGAAAACAGGCGAAACCGTAAAGCAGCAAGAGTAGAGCAGGCAGATAATAACCATTGCTCACAGCACACACAATGACCATAACAATTCGACTAGAATAGGATTTATGGAGCTAATATAGGCGCGGGAGGGGATAAGAGAGGAAAGGAAGATCAGCGACAAGCTTTCTCAGACAGGCCTCGTAACATCAGCAAGGCTTAAAAAATGTCTTCTGACAAAAAGAAAAGAACACACACAGATATGACCAGGGATGGGAATCCAAAGAGCAACCATGCCTTTAAAAAAAACGAACTTTTCACATGAATCAGCGATTTGTACGTTTCTTATAATGCGTACATTAACACCTACTGCATGTGTAAAAAACATGTCATAGAAAGAAACAAAACAACAAAGAAACTTATGGATTACTCTGTCAAAGATGCAATTATGGTGTATGTTACTTGAAAGAAAATAGTATGTATAAATACATGTTCACAAAAAGCATCTGTTCCGATGTGTAAATGAGTTTCTCATAACTGTGTGTTCTTTACATCTTGTACATGCAAAAAAGCACTCTGTTGAAATTCAAGTTGAAAGTGTTACTGTTTCAGCTTTTAGATTCAGCCTTGCATTTTGAAGCATGTCATCATTGTCCAGAGAGATGGAGAGAGAGAGAGAGAATGAGATGAAAAGAGAGATAGTGTGTACAAGTCGGCAATAGCCCTGTCACAACAGTAGGGCAAATTATGTGACAAAGACAGCAAACATTGTTTCGTCCGGCAGGATGTTTGAACAACCAAAGCATCCATGTTGGAACATCATTTTTTTCTGAGCATCCAAAATTGTGTACCTCACACAATGTTTCAATTTGGATGTTTATATGGTACATCTTTCTTTTTGTTCATTCTGTACCGGTCTGTTGTGGTGAAGAGAGAGCTGAGCCAAAAAAGTAAAGCTCTCGATTTACCGGTCGATCTACGATCTTCCTACTCTTCTCTATGGTCAGGAGCTCTGGGTCATGACCGAAAAAACGAGATCCCGGATACAAGCGGCTGATATGAGTTTTCTCCGTAGTGTGTCTGGGCTCTCCCTTAGAGATAGAGTGAGGAGCTCAGTCATCCGGGGAGGACTCAGAGTAGAGCCGCTGCTCCACTACTGTATATCGAGAGGAGCCAGTTGAGGTGGCTCGGGTATCTGGTTAGGATGCCTCATGGATGTCTACCTGGTGAGGTTTTCCGGGCATGTCCCACCTGGATGAGGCCCAGGGGGAGACCCAGGAAACGCAGGAGGGACTGTGTTTCTCAGCTGGTCTGAGAGCGCCTTGGGGTTCCCCCGGAGGAGCTGGCCCAAGTGGCTGGGGAGAGGGACGTCTGGGCCTCCCTACTGAAGCTGCCACCCCCATGACTCGACCCCAGATAAGTGGAAGAAAATGAATGGACAGATAACTCTTTTTAATAAAAAAATTTTAATAAAAAGATTTTAATAAAAAAAATGAATAAAAAAAATGTAAAAGACAATAAGAATGCAACGAACCGGTGCTGTTACAACATATCGTAGAAAAAGATCTCACCTTAAGAAAATGGCAGTAAATGTCAATGTAAATGTTGTTGCTGTTATATATATTTATGTAACTTTGTGTGCCGGGGTTAGTATGCTATCATTATGAGATCTGGATCTATAAGTGTCAGTTTTTAGGTTTTGCTTCATAACCAGGTTTTATAAACCTTTAAATAAACCTGTAAATGTTTGCTTTCTGTGTTTTCAACAAAACAAAAAAATTTCCTTTAAAATGGGAAAATTAGAATCAATCGTAATGTAAGCTGGCTGTATAACTGCAGCCTTACAACAATTGAAAAAAAGGAAGCTTTTGTTTCATATAGTATTTATAAATCTGAAATTAATTTCCGATTCACATTCTCATCACATCTTCTATTTCTAAGGTGAAAATAGATAAAAATACTATACAGTATTAGCGTTTACCTATCAGATAAACATTTTTTTTTTTTTTTACTTGTGAAAAGAGCAGCCATGTAACAAATGATTACTGTCTTATTATTGATTAGGGCAAGCTTACCGGGCCGTGGCAGGTTAAGGAGTCGTCGTCTGCACGTTCGCACTGGGCATCACACTCAACACACATTGAACCATTGGCATACTCTCGAATATCTCTGGGAAACAATAAAGCAGAGAGAGAAGTGGAGCAAAATATTATTAAATAATAAATATTTGAGGCAGATATATTGACAAACTGGCAAAAGGACAAAAAAGCTGACATTTAAAAAAAATGGAAACGATAGTTAGCAGATTCCATGTTTATAAAGGATTAAAAATTAATCATTATTCCTGTTCTATTGATTTTATATTGTAAGAAACAATGCTGTGCATCATAATATTCATTTCGAGAGCCTAATTCACAACTGAACATTGTCTGTAAAAAATAATTGTAATCAGTTTTGCTCAAATTAATCCAGAGTGAAACTGACAGGATATGAGAGAGTAGAGAGATTCATAATTCAAGGGGTTGACACAGATGAGAGGTGCAGGATGTGGTGGCATGGGTGAGGTTTTCAAAGTCAATTAAATTAAATTTGTGTTATTTAACTTCTGCAGTCTACTTACAATAGTTAAATAGCAGAGCGAATTCAAAAAGTCATAAAATTTGACCATACTGCCACTGAGTTAGTACTTTACCTTTGTTTTTTTAGAAGAAGGAAATTAAATCGGTGTTCCTGTCTTTTGCTCACGGATGAAAGAAATGCAAGAGAAGGAAAAAGTTTGTCTTCCATTGGGAACAAAATAAAATCTATGTAATTCATGACTCCCTCTGCCCTCATAAAACCTTCAGAGAGACAAGGACGGTAAAACACATTTTCTGTATGCTTGTTGGTTGAACTAATAAAGGCTACGGTGAAGCTTCATTTTATTATCAGTGCTTAGAGGACTTTTCGGATATGCAAGATGCTCCCATGTGTTCTGTTATGTGTCTGTTTCTCACACAAATTGACATAAACAGCAGGGACATTTCTTCATTTTCCTTCATGTTCATCCAATTTGTTCTAAAGTGGAAGGACGGTGTGGTGGGAATCTTAAAGAAAAATCTGAACATTTTTAGATTATAGGGTGGAGAATCCCACATGCTGTGTAATTCTTTACCTTTGTTATCAAAAATCATTGCTTCAGTGTATATATCCCTGCTATTTTACAATAACAAGTTTGTACAGTTTTGTTTGCTTGATTTTTTGCATCGAGTTAGATTCGACTGAGCGCTGCTGAACAGTTTTTCATTGTTGTTTTTTATTCATATTGAGATTAAGTGAATTCGAACTGTCAATTACTCATCATCTATGAAATACAAGACAAAGTAAACAAATCAGGAGCACTCCTGAAGTGAGATAATAATACAAAATGTAAAAAAATTAGTAAACAAAAAAGATAAGACAACGATGAAGCATTTAAGGTCAGTCTGGGGGAATAATTGGCGGTGACACAGACTCTTAGACTGGTGCAGATGTGTAGGCAGACAGGTAGGCAGGGCGTGGCCCCGTGCGCAAGCAGTGACTGTGACACGCAGTGACACGCCTAGCCCTCCTGCCCTAACAGCATCTCAAGGTCCTGGCTCATCTCCAAAGTGGCCAAAAAAAATTGTGATCAAGTGGCAAATCTGAAACTATAAGCAGCTTTCATGTCATCCCCTGTTAACAAAGAAAAGTCTGCAAAATACCTAAAAATGTCATTATAAACCTCCTTGGGGTGCATGTTTTCCCACTTTTAAAGTAGAAAAGGATAACATCAAGAGAATCCTATTGTTATGAGACTCTGCAGGGGTTCCTTTTGTTCTCAATCCTTTTTAAATTGTTCTCAACTTTCTCTAAAACAATGTAATAAAAGCAGGCAAATTGAAATAAAACTTTAAAACCAAGATACATTACTTTAATTTCTCCTTGCAAACTTTTGGGTCAGCTGATTATGACTTACAGCTAATGAAAACCCCAAATTACTTATTTAGAAACTAATTAAGACCAACAGCATTATTAAGTTTGACAGGTGAGAGAACACAGCTGGAGATGATCTCAGTAGTTATCCTACAAGAAAAGGTGCTGTAGCTGTCTGCATGGTACAAAGAAGACCCTGGTCTGAATACCACAAAGACAAAGAAGATCATCCTGGACTGTCATCAAAACAGAACAACACTGTTTACAATTCCTTAGATTACTCAAGAAGGAGAAAATTAACTAATAGCTGGGGATAAGCTTCTACCCATCCTAAAGTTGTGATCATTCCTATGCACTATGTCTCGTGGTTTACCAACTGGAGCAGACTGAAGGAGGCTCCAGAAGTGGTTAAGTCACAAAGGAGATTACAGGCTGTCTCCCTCAATCTCCGAATGCCATTTACACTTCTCGCTGCCTCAGCAAAGCAAAGTGCATCATCAAAGACAGCTCTCATCTTTCCTAGCACTTTTTTGACCAGTTGCCCTTGATCAGATTTGATTAGGTCAATTAGAAGCAGACCAAATAAACTCAAGGAAAGCTTTTTCCTCACACTTACATGTTAGCAAGAATCTTACATGGACAATAAAACAGTGGGTATTATTGTGGTATGATATGCAACATCTTTCTTTTCTTTTGCTGTGCAGACAACTTGCAATGTAAGTATTAGTATGATATTTTTGTGTTTGTATTTAATGTTTTTGCAGTATATGTATTTTTTTTTTACCTTATTTCAAATGATCAATGTAGCACTCCGAGTTTATACTTTCAACAAGGCTCATTGTTGAATGATGATGATAAAGGATTGCTATTTCTATTTTGTTTCTATATACAGAAATTGTAGCATATGTTCTTGATTCACTTCTGCTTTAGCAACATACATTTTGAATCTACCTGAAACTCTACCCAAAATGGAGTTTAACTCACATTCAAATGAAATTTATGGCTATTTATGGAGTTTGAGAACAAATTTATACCACATAATTTAATTCTATTTAACATTGAAATTAAACAAAGAATATGCAAAGAGGCTTTTGGGGCTTATCCTTTTTTTTGGGAGGGGTTGATGACTGTCAACTTAGCAGCCACCCCCGTAGTTGTCAGAATAAGAAAAATTTGTGTAACAAAGGTTTTAGAAACTATTTTAGGCTTTTGGATAAGTTTAACTTTTTGAATGGCAGTATATAAATAAATTAAACAGAAAAATACCATTTAATTTTTAATGTTCTGCAGTCTCAGACTGGGAAAAAAAGTCTTTGTACCTTCTTTTTATTGAACACCTTTCCTCGTCAAAAGCAAAGAAGGCACAAACCTTAATGTTTTTAAACTGGCCAGATGCGTTCATGTGGAGTAAGGAAAATTCTGTTTTAGGATTATCTAACAAAGCACAGCCCTATTTCTCATAAACTGTTGCAATAGGTAAGCTTTGAAGAGAAAGCCTCTGTTGTCACATTCAATGTCATTAGAGTTATTTTTAAGACAGAAGATGTGAGAGATCAGGCTCATGGAATATTAAATGTGTTTTTTTAGACATTTACCAGATGATGTTTCACCGGCCCACATAACATATTTTTGTACAAAATGTTTTATTGTTTTCTAAACCCTAATAGATAGAAATAAGATTTAATAAAATAGAAATTAGCCAGTTTTTCTATCCTAGTGTTAAATGTTAATATAATGAGACCTTTATTGAGTGATAATACATTTGAAGATGTGATCTGGATATAAATAAGTAGATAGCAAAGTTTATTCTTTTGGCTTGTCTTATAATATTACAATATTATAGATACATTACTTTTTTTTGTTAGACAATACACATTTTAATCCAATTCTCATGTTTAGTTGTTTCCTTTACTAAATCTTAATAAAATGAAGAAATAAAAAACAAGTCATTTTTTTTCTTTTTTTAGTGGAGGGATGCATCTTTGATAGTATGCCACTGCTGAAGTGAATTTGATTTGCCTTTGGCATTTTCAGGAGTGTCTTATTTTCCTTTACAGTTCCAGCTGCAGGGTTTCCTCCCCCTCTCTCGTCCATCACTTCAATTGCTGATATTCAGTCACCATAGAGCGTTGACTGACATGTTGTCATGCTGCAGCTGTAAAAATTCTAAAATCTGTCTCTGATCATGCACGTTTCTGATTCGAGGCTGGGAGGAAGCTTCAACATTAACATTTAACAATGTTTTATTACTGTATACACACCCTCCCAAATAAAGTATTTAGAACATTAGTTAGGGCGTAAAAATCAGAGCTGACAGGACTTACTATGGTTTGATTTTGTGTGATTATTTTTTGGTATAGCTAATAATGACTTCCAAAAGATTTGCATATTACAGATTTGACTACTGAGACAGTAGGAAAGAAACACAAGCAGGAAAAAAAAGAAGCATTTAATGTTTAAAATAATATAGGAAACTATCTAAAAAATATTAAACAATTTATTTAACAATTTTCTAGGAAAAAAAAAAGAGTTAAGACTAAAATATATATTATAAATGACTATAATAGAAAATCCAGCAAAAGCTTGAAATAGTGTTAAATTTTGCGATAGTGACATCAGTTACAATAAATCCACAAAGCCATTACTCCTATCTTCCTCATTTATCATACTGCTTCCAGCTCTCTCTTTGACCTTTGGTGTCTTGAAGACTATTATTTGTAGGAGGTCTAAGTATCTACTCCTGTAAGACTCAACTCAGAATGCTGCATATATTATTGCCATGCAAGTTTGACTTCATGACACCTAAAATAAAGAAGTAAACAGATATTGCATTCCAAGCAGTCCTCTATGACATAAATATTGCACACACAGAATTTGGGATGATGGTATTACAATATTTTCTACTGCTCTGTAATGAATCAAAAAGTATTTTACATGAATACAGAATACCCCGCACCCCACCACCCCACCACCCACACACACACACACACACACACACACACACACACACACCCACCCACCCCACCCCCATGATAAATACTGTGTCATTTCCCATATGCAGTGCTCTTACTGTATAATGGAGTTCAATATAGCTGTTATTTGCCCATCATAGCAATTTTTACTGGGCCCCACATCATGTAATATATCAATAATATAAGGGGCCATGTAATGTTTACATAACAAAAACATTGTTTTTGTGGCAATTATCTGGAAAGCACATGATCAAGTTTACGTTGAATTGTCCCATTAGAAAATTGTGAGGATATTTATAAATTATTTTACACTTTTCATCAGAATTCTGAAAACATCAATAATTCTGGGTTCCAAAAATTTATTGTAAATTTGTTCTTTTGTTTGTTTTTTAACTTAAAATTTCAGAGGAAAAAGCAGATAACTATTTTTTAGACCATTTAAACATACTATCTATGCATCAGAATTTTTATTTATTTACATTCCTTACCCTTCATAAAGGTTGCAGGAATCCACACAGATGCGTCCCCGGCTAAAGTATCGGCAGGAAAGGCACTGGTCAGGGCCAGGACCCCAACACCCAGCATTGGAACACAATGGGTCGCACACCATGTGCTCCTTGGCTGCTCAGGACAAACAAAAAACATTTGCAATTATGTCTTTCTAACTGAATGACTCAACAATAGAGTAGTTGAAGAAAATATGCAACAATAACTTTTTACAAATATCCAAACACACCCATCACTTAATAAGGAGACATGGGGCTACAGATCCTGAAGCACAATATATTTAAAGTATATTTGTATTTAATGGTTCCACCTCGACATGACAGCTGTTAATTTGTGTGGGCTTATAAAAACTATTTTTCATAGCAACAGATTTCTTAAGCAAATATTGTGATAATACAGTTAGGCAGTTGGGTGGGTGTCTAAGGGATTAAATCATTTCTCTTCCAGAAACAACAAAGTGTCACGCAATATACAACAAGCCATTTGGCTAAATATTCCTTCAGAGAGAAGTCGTTTAAAACACTGTAGTGTTCCAAACAGTGTTGGAACATTTCAGTGTACACTGCTCCTTGTGGGGCTGACTACATGGACGTAAAGGGAATTGCTGTTTTAGGGTCAGGGGTTACATTTAAGACGAAGGTGGGAATTCAGTTTAGGTTGGGGTCAGGGTTAAGTATGAACCCATTATGGTTAGGTTTGGGGTAAGGGTCAGGGTTAGGCCAATGGAAAGGCTCAGCAAAGCTTGAGACAAGTTGGTGTGTGTGTGTGGGGGGGTGAACTTGCTGCATAGTGAGCAAATTTTTGGCACATTTTACTCAGGTTCTAGAAGGGATGTGTGCTTTTTCAATATTTAAATGCTGAGCAAAGAATGATAAACAACAGGTAAGACACAGAAAGAAATTGTTGATTCCACAAGACTTGTAATTTAAGCAAACAGCCAAAAAGAAGAAGAAAAACACTGTTAGGTGTTGATTTTTAGGGACTACATACCAACCAGAGTATGTAATTTCCTCAGTTTTATTGAATTGTCTTGTTTCTTTGTCTCATGCTTCCTCAAAATAGTATATCCTATAAAGCTTGTGAGACCTTATTAAACAACCACTGCCTAAATATTTTTGTAACACTGTTACAGCACAACCAATAAAATGAGCAATGTGAGCATCACAGCTTTGAGTGAGCAGTGGTTTCCTTTCTAAAAACGTATAACCAGAGGAAGAAAAAAAAAGCTTATTAAAATAAAAAACAACAACACTTGTTTAAAAGGAATGACAAAACAAAGCAGATTAATGTAAGCCCCATTTGCTTAAGAGTCAACATGTGACCGTCATTCTTAAAGTAAAGATGTAGTTACAATCAAATGATGACTCCATTAGAATTTTTCAGTGTCCTGATTAGACCCCAGCAATTGACTCAGGGTTGTATTTCATATATTGCTAAAGGGACCTATTTTACTTCCCTTTAAATATCAAAGATTGGTTTATGGGTAATGCAAAACATGAAAAGTAAAAAATAAAAATAGAATGGTCAGATAATAGGATTTAGAAGAGTCTCAATAAAAAAAAATACATTGAAGTGATCCACACATGCACAGGACAAGATCCACATACATGTACAGTATGCAGAGGATAAATATTATTGTGAAGATAAATATTCAAACGGTACACAAAATGTACACATTCACAACACAAGATCCTCATTTAAAAACTAGCAGTGGTCTTTGAACTTACTGCAGGGATGAGTGAATTTTTGAGAATCACCTGACATGATTTGATGTTCAAATGCTTTTTTTTAACAAGCTTTAAAAATCTAGCTTGAGTTGTTTTAAGGATTTTGAAGATAATGTGTCTTTATATTAAGATTATATTGATTACACAACAGGTCCACATACAAAAACATTAACATAATGAATAAATGAGAAAAAGTTTGCAGTGGAAACTACCTTTTTCAACCTTTAAACAAAAATCTGTTTTAATTTAGCCCTTAAATGGATTGTTAAATCATTCATTTTTTGTCCTCCTCACAGACTTTCCAGAGTTGACCTCTACCCCACTCTGCAGTTTGCTTGGCATTTAACTCCCTGGTAAGGGGAGTTAGAATGCCCTTAATGCCCAACGCCTCTGCCCAGCTCTGGTGATATCTGACAAGCATCTAGTTCAGATCTACCGCTATCCTCTTCCAAAGCCCCAGTAGAGAGTACCCAGAGCAAGACAGAGTTCATGGAACGTCCTCCATTCTGGAGCTAAGAGAGCTAACAGCAGGAGATGCAGCAAGTTCCTACTCTTCTGGTGATTGGCTTATAACAAAATTATTACCCATGTGGTGTTCGTTCTTGTGACTGGCTGAAACAATCGAGTTATCTAATTGGTTGCAATTCATAGCTTGTTAAAAAAATTATTTTGTGTATTGGGTCGCATCAGGTGAATGTCAAAAACTCACATACAAATGCAGTGAAGTTCAGAGACATACGGTAGTTAATAAAACAAGATATAATTGTGTTTACATTACAAATACTTTGGTAAAACTTGTATTGTGTATGCAGACATCCTATAAATCATTATATGCACATGTGGATCTTGTCCTGTGGGAATGTATCCTGTGCATGTAACATTAAGAATCCAGTAGCTAAATAACTCAGTGCTGCCTTTATTATATATACATAGATCATGCGGGATGAGGGGCTCACGTGGCTCATAGTATATTATGAGCCACTCATATGTATATAAGCACACATGAGTTATAATTTATTTTAACTATTTACTTTATTTTAACTATATATATTTTCTGTTAAAACAGCATCCTGTATTCTGTTTGGGGCTGAAACAGTTAATCGGATTCATTGTGTTTAATGGATTATTGAAATATTAGTCAACTATTTAGTAATTAATTCAAGTAAGAATTTATTTAGTAGCTTTAGTACTAATCAGCAATTAATTAAAAGATCAATCATTAACTGGTGTATAGAGAATCTAAAACATGCCTTTAGAGTCACCCAATTTGAGCAGCAATTAAACCAAAATAATAAAAGAAAAAAGTATGCAAACATTTTGCATTTAGATAAAAAACAAAAATTTCATCTGTCAATAAGTACTATCCAAAATCCTCAAGTGGAAAATGTTTGGTTTCACCTGGTGTAATATTTTAAATAGTCCTCTTTGGCTATCCGACTATTAATCGAAAAAATAATTGACAGATTTAATGATTTGCAAAATAATCGTTATATGCAGCCCCGATTCAGTTCAGGATTTAGTACATCTCAGCACAATTTAATATTTTTATAAATTATTAAAATCACCTTGCTATTGTTTTATCACTTATTTTAGTATCAAAGGCTGCCATATTGAAAATAGGCAAAATGATAATACTGAATCAGCTACCATAACCAAATTACCTTACCTAAAGCATCCTATATCTGTTCGCTATGAGAGACATAAGTCATTACCTATTGTGCCAGTAGTTTGTGGTTACTAAGAAATTTACAATGTCATAGAAATATATCAAAGCAGTTAGCCCCCATCATCTGGCATTTTTCCACTTTTTACCTGATACAGCAATAATGCTGTTCTTTAATATGGGTATCAATATGCTCTGTTTTGATTTTCTGGAAGCCAAGATGATCATGGTTACATACCATTTCCTAGTGATGTGCTTGCCAAGAATTGAGACAGTTTTATGACATGGATCATCTGTTTCAGGTATGTTGGAAATATGCAGACACGTAAAAATGCTAACAGATGCGCACTGGTGCATCTTTGACCCTCAATCAAACCCTGAATCTAACAAAGTGGAGCCCTCAAGCACAACCAGCAAAGATGCAGCAAGTGGTTTCTGAGTGTCCTATTCGAACAGGGCAACTACAGAAAGGGTTCCAGAATAACCTTGAAAGACACTTTTCTGCAGCGTTAAACCATCCTGTTATATCCTCTTAACTGCCTGGAAACATCTTCCCATGAGTCTTTTGTTGTTATAAGAATTTGCCTTGTGTAAAATACTTTTAGGACACATGTTTGCTGTTTTAGGTGTGAAGTCTAATGAAATAAGATAATGATCTCACTAGATTCAGTCTTATTTCTTTTAGTGCTTAAACTGTTTCTTAAAGCATATTTTGCATAATTTTAAACGATTGATATCAGACTTTCTTCAAACTTAACTCTTGATGTATGTTAGTGGTTTATTGTCTGATAAGATCAGCTGTATCCACAAGAAGATAAGTACAGATGGATGGATGGATGGATGGATGGATGGATGGATGGATGGATGGATGGATGGATGGATGGATGGATGGATTTGCATGTATAGGGCCTGCAAAGCCATTGCGCACATTATTTCTGTTGATTTAATCTAACTTTTCTAAACCTGATGTAATGTTTATTTCTTAACAATGACTTTGTAATGACATGGGACGAAGAATCAAGATGTGATGTGCTCTGTAATAAAAGACAGTATGAAGCAACGCAAACAGTGCACTATGAAAATGTCAGATGTAGACAAGTTTGACCCATCTACTCGGACATCATTGAACACAGAGTACATCTGCAGAGATGAGATGTGAAAGTGTGTTATACACAAAAGGCAGGCTTACAGCAGGAGTACAATAGGAGTTCTTAGTAATGGATCTAACAATGCAAAAAAAAATTTTTTTTTTTTTTTTAAAGGGATCACCCATTAAGAAATGTTGTCTGTATTTCAGCTTTTGAAATCCACATACCTATGTATAAAATACTGACCAATTCCTTCACTTTATATCATTAAGTTTACAACAATCCATGTCTTAGCTGAAGATTTCTCCTGCTGTAAACTTAGTAATTGTAGAATATTTGAGCTTTCATACAGTGTAATATATTTACTTGGTTTCCAATATATCTAAAGAGTCATAACCTTAATGGTAATTTGCAGAGAAAGCAAGGTGACCTAGGAAAAATAAATATATTACCATAGTAAGATAGAGTGTTGGTTGCTTGTTTATGAAAGAACTTCACAACATGAGTTGCAGTTTACACCAGTTTGTTATGGAGAAAAGAAACAATAACATTCATATTTTTCTAGAAATTCCAGAATATAAGGGCAGGAATTCTGATTTTTATTGATATATCTAAACAAGTAAACTAAAAGTGATAAAAAAGTACAGGCTGTTAGATCAAATTCATATATGTGTTTGTAGCAAATTGTTTTTTTTTTTCTCTCTTTGGGCTTTAAGGTATTCTTGCACACAATAATACAACTACTTTACAATCTTCTCTTCCCTTTACAAAGAAAGCAAACTTGCAGACTATTTTCTCTGCCATTTTTAGGCTAGTAATTGTAGATGTTACTGAGAACAACTCTTTAGTTCGAGAAGTACGACTGCCTGGAGTGGGTCTGTATACTGTAGCATACATAGAAGACTGCCAAGAGAGTAAAGACATTGAGATTGATAGCAGTTCACTTATCCAGCACTGAATCCCCAAGAATTCCTAAATGGCATAAAATTCTGAGTGAAAACCTTTAGAGAAACAAGGCCAGTATCAGTAAAGGTAGAAAAGGTCCAATTGTAGTTGAGCATGCCACTCAAAAAGACTCATTAAAACTCAAAATCTCTTGAAAACAGATAACCTTTGAATCACTAAAAGAATATTGAAAGTATGTGAAGGACTCTAATTTAGTGCACACTGGATAAGAAGAGTTTTATACAGGACCCCTTCATTAATACAAACGTATAAAACACAACATTTTGAGGGAAAAAAAAACAGTAAATCAGTCATTTCTGTGCATAATACATTTTGCTCAAACCTTTTTTTTTAAGTCTCTTTAAACTGGTTATATGAGCATTCATATAAATATAGTTTTTGGGACCTTTTAAGTAACAGTTTTCATAAATGCAACTAACTGAATAATAGCCAGATTGTCCTTTAACTCTTTACAAAACCCCAAAAAATAAAATCTTACCAATTCATCATTTTCAGGTATTCTAACTTTGCAAAAACATTACATAAGTGTGTCTTATTTGAATTGTATACAATATGAAAACAAAATTACCACAAATCTGTTTAGTAAATGTTTTTTCCAAATAAAAATTACAAACTGCTCCAATACCACCATCTGAATATGTATTGCACCCAGCTGTTTTAAGAGGCCAACAAATGAAATTAAATAAAACCCATCTATTATGCCCTTAAAAAAGCCTTTTTTATTTGACCCTTTATGACTAAAACATTGTTTAATGAGCAGACTGGCACATCAGTATCTGTAAGTCTGTAGCTTATTTTCCTGAATTAACTTCGGGTCAAAAGTTCCTGCACTGTTCGACTGAAGTGATGTCAGGCATGTCCATGTTAAATGGGTCCGACCAATCTAAACCTTATAGTCAAGATGGATTTTGTGGATAATAAGCCGCAACCAGCTCCAGCTCAACGGAGACCAATGGCATTTCTGGGTAAGTAAAACAAGAAAAAAAAAATAAAATGTGAGCGGAAAGTTGTGAGGATGAGTAGAAGTTCTGAGTTTTGGCCACAGTTTTGGCAGTATCATTAGGAAACACCCTAATACCTCTTTAAATTAAGAAATGATGTGGGGGAGTCCTCACATAAGCAGGGTAGCATTGATTTTTGCAAATACTATAGCTTTTTGCTGATGAAGATTCTCAGTCATCCAGGTCATAGTCATTCCGTAAAAGTTTAAAAACAATCCACTGGACTTGGTTTCCAAGATTTGAAGACGTTTTGCTTCCCCTCCAGGAAGACATTTGAATTGTGAAAGCTTCCTGGAGGGGAAGCGAAACGTCTTCAAACCTTGGAAACCAAGGCCAGTGGATTGTTTTTAAACTTTCACGGAATGACTATAGCTTTTGTGATCTGCGAGAATTTTTTTTTGTTATAATACTGATTGTTAACACTTACAGTATTAGTAAGGAAGTGATTGTAGTTTGACTTTGCCAGATGTTTTGCACTTTGCTGAAATTAGGAAAGTCATTGCAAGACAATGCCTTGACTTTTTAACTTCAATTTAATAAAACTACATAGAAATACTTCTGCACAGATGTAACTATAAACTTACCACATTCTTGTGGGCTTCGGTTGTTACGGATAAGAACCTTTTGGTTTCCAGCGCGAAACAATGTTGTCCAGTTGACAGTACTGTAGTAGCAGAGTTGGCTGTTCTCTGCAATGTGGACATTCCCAGCGCTGATCTCTCTCAGGGACTGAAGCTGTAGTGATGAGATGCCGTGTTGTTTTAACACCAGCAGAGAGATCCCACTGAGAGGGCCACATAGGTGGAGGTGAGAGAGACGTGTGGCCAGACAGAAAGAAGAGGAATGCAGGAAAAGAGTGAGAAAAGTTTATGTTGAATACAGAATGAAAAAGACAGAGAGAAGATGGTGAAATATAAAGAAGATAAGTCGGTTAAATTAGAGGAGTTTTGTTGAGAAACACCACAAAACAGAGACATAAGCTGACTTGTTCTATTATTAGCACCTCTGACCAAAAATATAACCCCATAAAATTAATTACACAAATAAATTATTACACAAATTTGTATTTAAAACAAATCTACAGACAAAATCCTTCAATGATGCAGAAAATATTTTTCTCCTGATTCTGCTTTTAAACAGTCATTTGCAGGGAGAGGGTTTTATACAGCACTTAAAATAAATAAATAAATAAAAAACATGCTTTGATCCTAAAGGCAATAATTTCCACAAACAAGGATTTGAAACCAACGGGTTTATACATTTTTTATATATTCTTTGCCTAAAGTAAAATTGTTTGATGTTCATCTATATGGAGTTGTGATACGTCTGTCAGAATGTTTAACAAGCTACTGTATCAAGTGTCTATTAGATAACTTTCTGAAATCCTGTAATCTCTATGCATTACAGAGCAGGGTGGTTTAAAGCTGTGAGGTAAAGAGGGTGTTGCTTAATATTTAGCATAGTTTTTTTATGATAACAATATTGTGTGTTAGTTTATGCGGTTATGTAAATAGTAAATGTCTCGTACTCCCCACTAAAAAACTATTCTGCGAAAATATTAGGACAATAAAGTGTTTTCTAAAGTCTATTATATTCTTCTATTCTATTATTCTGTTCTATTATTCTTTTCTGTTCTGGTATTTATTCTTTTTTCTAGATCTACTTTTATTTTTGAAGCTCTTAGGGCAGACTACAAAAATATTTTGTCAAAGAAAGATTGTATTATTTTAGTCAATGTATTATAGATTGGTATTTTATGAGTAGCACTCAAATGACCAATCACAGGCAACTCACCTGTAGACCCACAGAGAAACTCTGTAGGCGTTATAACGAGGATTAAGTAGCACAAAACATCACTTTATGAGCAGACATTTTTTTACTCAGTAATGATCTTGTTAGCTTGAAATATTAATAGGAAATTATTAATTGCTCTAGTGGCTACTCTCAGTTTTTATTCAAAAACAATATCTCTCAATTATACATAAATTATACTAAATCATACTAAATCTGTCTGTTCATTAGAGCTGTATATCTTCTGGGGTGTAAGTAAATATCTACAACATAAAGCAGTTAAAAAACCTTTCTACCTAAGTCTTGTTTTATTTTTGTTTGTCCCCATATTTAGTTTCCTCAGCTCCACTTATAGTGTAAATGTGACAGGGAAGCAGTGGGGAGTTAGAGCCATCAGACAGACAGAGTATGCAGGGTCAAGCACAGGGCAAAGGTCAGAGGCAGGTTATAATGTGTCCTGCTGTTTTTATCTGCACACAGTGCAGTGCACAGACCCAAACTCTTACACAGATACACGCACACACTTAGTCTGCAGTATATAATCAGCAAAGACTTGCAATATTACCTACCAAATGTCACTATGCATTGTCAAGCACTTTTGCAAAAGCACTGATGAGTAAGTGATAAATAATTATGCTCCATTAGTTGGGTTGAAACTGCCGGAGTCTTTAAATGTTAACACAAAATAATGACCAAAACCTGTTTCAAGCAGTGTTCGTTGTAATAATTCCACATGGCAAAATTAAAATGCAGAGCACTTAAACAGAGAAGAGCATATAACTTCATCCACAAAAGATTTACATAACTGAATCTAAATGTAAAGTACAAGCTACATTAAGTGACATTACTTGATCTAAATGTTAAGTTTATGACAAATTCTGTCTGGCCTGTTTAGAAAAAAGTAAATCAAAAGTTGCACAGATCAGGTTTTTGTCTTCAGAGTATACCATTTTTTTTGTTTTGTTCTGTGTGTGTGTGTGTTACTCAACCAGTAACCACGACATGTGTAGGTTTACCAGAAAATATTGTAATTGACTGTATTAAATGCAGCACTGATATCTAAAAGGACAAGTACAGTAATAAGCCCATTAACTGAGGTAATGTGAACATCAGTTGTGAATTTGACCAATACTGTTTCATTGCGATTAATGTGTGAAAACGGCTGCTTGGTGATACAGTGGGTAGCACTGCTGCCTTGCAGCAAGAAGTTCTGGGTTCGATTCCCGGCCTGGGGTCTGTCTGCATGGAGTTTGCATGTTCTCCCTGAGCATGCGTGGGTTCTCTCCTGGTAATCCGACTTCCTCCCACAGTCCAAAAAAACATGACTGTTCTCCTTAGGTGTGAGTGTGTGCAAGAATGGTTGTTTGTCCCTGTGATGGACTGGCGACCTGTCCAGGGTGTACCCTGCCTCTCACCCATTGACAGCTGGAGATAGGCACCAGCATCCCTCATGACCCCATTTGGGAATAAGTGAGTTAGAAAATGGGTGGATATATATATATATATATATATATAAACTGTAATTAAATGTTTATGAAGACCAGGTTTAATCACAGTACCCTTGACAGCCTGTGGTATAGATATTTTTAATAAGGACAGATAAATAGAAATATCTAAAATTGGAATACATCAAAGGAAAAAAAAGTTCCTTCAATAAATTGTCTGGCATTGGCTAGAGCCAGAAGTTAAAGTGATCTTTATTTGACAATATGCTGACAGGAAATGGGGTTGAGATAAAGGCAGGAGACATAGAGCAAAGGTCTATGGGCTGATATTCAAAGCTTGGATGAGATATTAGGACGGAACTCCTGTGGCACTAGACCTTTTCTATTTTTACAGTGGTGTAAGTAGACACCCAAAGTTGAAAGCAAGTTATGTACCTTATTGCTATTGTTAAGTAAGTATCCTGCCAAATCCTTTTTGTTGGGCCACCTTTCTTTTTGTTCTATAGCTGCACGAGACACCAGAATGTTCCAAGATAGCAGTGGTGGCTGGGAGACCTCTCTTTTTTGTTTTGATGTCACTTTTCTAAGTTGCACAACGGAACATTTGATATGATTATAAATTAAATTGCCTGGAATAATGTACTAAACAACATGCATTTGTAAGATAAATGTGCACTCCAATCACAGTTATGTACCACATATTATGGGTATAATTAGCTACCGTTTGAGTATATTCAATAGAACCTTGATGTAAACATAAATTAAACTTGGAAAAAATAAAATTTTAACTAGATTGTTTGATCATTAGTTACCTGTACAGTGCTCTCCCTCCTATAGTTGCAAGGTTGGAGAAAACACTCAAGTCAGTGATGTTGTCAGGCCAAGACTGAATGTTAAGGTAGCCTAAAAAGGAAGAAAACCACATAGAAACTCATGTTAAGCTGTGTCACAGGCACAGACAAACAAGAAGGACCATAATTAATGTATAGTGCTCATGAAGAAAAACTGTATACATATGACCCAAATGCATAGCATAGGCATGGCACATACAAAGACAATTATAATAGCAATGTGAAATTTACTTGATTGATACAGACAGACAGACAGACAGACAGACAGACAGACAGACAGACAGACAGACAGACAGACAGATAGCACATTCCCTGTCTCTGCTTCTCTTCTGCTAAATCATTTAAAGGATTAAATGAAAAGCTGAAAGGATGGCTGTGGCTCATTTATAATTTTCAATAATGGATTCAGAAATATGAAATATTTAGTAGAAGAACAGTGGATGAGTAAGATCCCCAGGCCAACACCAAAAGACAAATAAAACTGTGGGTTGAGGCAATACAACCAAGGCAAAAACCACAAACCACCACTCTCCTGAATGTAGCCCTGATCTTACAGTCACTAGGGAATGAAATTTATTTATTAATATCTTTCTTGAAATCAAGAAACAACATTACATTAGGGTTATATATTTATTTTATTTGCCTTTGCCTTAATCACCAAGTAGATAGAAGGGAAGTGGTAAACAACAATTACAACCAAACCAATACAAACTGTGCCATAGGATATACAAATATACATATAGAATGTTTTTCAATCTATACAACTATTTGACATCATCATATTACAGTGTGTGATTTCCTCCCACCGGGTGCATAATACTGTCTGTCTAAAATTGTCTTGTTGAAAACAGAGAGCAATAACCTTCAACAGACTCTTTACCAGTTTGCAAACATTGTTTGATCTGTTATCTCAATCCCAGATGAACAGCAGCACCATTGAGATACATATTTGTTAACATTCTTTGATGAGGAAAAGAAAAGAAGTAAAAGACAAACAGCATTCCCGACCACAACAAAAACACACAAGATGCTTATGCATGACAGCAGAGTTTGATGCAATTTTATAAGTCTGTCACAGTGTTGTTTTTGACAGCTATCTTAGATTTAGTCTCAGTTTTTGTCCTCAGGAGGGAAACTATTATTAGTTCAGACAAATTTTAGGCATCACTATCTGCGATAGTTTTAGTCCAGTTTTAGTCGACTGAAACTCAAAAAGGTTGGTAGTTTAAGTCAGTTTTATGTTGCACTGAAAAAGCAGCTAACCTTTACAATTTCAAATAACACCTAGATTCTTTACCAGACTGACAGCTCTGCCTAGATACTACAATTGCTGAAGATAAAATGCTGCAGAAAACTGATTTCTAGAATTCTAATTTTTTTTTTACTAATTAATGCCCTACTTTATAGAAAAAGTCTATCACAAAAGTTGTGAAAATAGCAGATCTAGTTCAACATATCATATTGGTTTATATAGCAGACAGAAAAGCTAACAAAATTCACAATAAAAGAATAGTTTTAGACATACAAGGTTTCAGTCCAAAAGCAAACACTTCCTGATCTACTATGAATTATGCATTACACACAGATCAATAAAATCTTTATTACTCCAAAAAAAACAAAGAACAAAAACATTTTGGCTTTGTTTCTAAGAGTTTACCCCTTGGATACCATGCTCAGGGGTCAAAGACAATTTAAATTCAAAAGGATCTTATATAAAAAAAAATACATAATAGTACATATTTGCCTTATGCCTATAAATATGTTAGCTAACATGTTGAAATATTCAAATAGATAAACAAGAAATATGAGAGGGAAATATCCAAGATCGATAAACCTTTTCATCTGGGTCTTTATATAAAATGAAACAGTATGCAATTAAATATCTTTTTTAAAATATAATTTAGGAATTCCTTTTGGCAGAAATTAAAGGAGGTTCAGCATTACCTCTTGTGAGCTGGAAGAAATAAAATCCTGATAGTTAGACAAAAGGATTTTTTAGGCTTGGCAGAGGATGATCAGCCACACACAATATATTCTGTTAAGTAGCGAGGGCAGGATGAGCCATACTGCTGAGAGCAAACCATCAGTGTGGAGCGTAAAGCACAGAGTCTGAGCTAAGCATGCGCAAAGCCGTATTTCTGCACAAGCACAGCTGGAAGAACAGAGTTTGTGTTAAGCCTGCATTATGCTTTTTGCCTTCCAGCTTACTTTTACCTCTTCTACTCCAGTCATTGTCCATCTACTGTATGGTCATGCAGAATTTGTACCACTGCACACTAGGTGGCTGTGACCAAACAGAATACAGTAGAAAATCTGATACTTATGGGGTGCCACAATGATGCGTTTAAACGACTGACAGACCAACCACCAACGTTTTTATTCAGTCTCATCCAAACAACGAAAACTATACCCAGTCGTCATGTTTTTTTCATCAAAGATCCATGTTTTCAGTAGCTTGTTGGTTCTCTTTATTATCATAAAAAAGGAGCATCAGCGAAATAATTTGTTGACGAAAACAACACTGTCACAAGATAATCTTTCATATATAGTGTGTTAGCAGGGACTGAGCTGCATGACCAGAGACTGGTAAAGAACTCTGAATCCCACATTGCAAAGTATTAACCCATACAAAATGTGACCTGCTCCTGGAAAGGAGGAATTTCTACACCGGCTGGAGATTTCAAATGACTTCATAGAGCTATGAACACCTGTCCAGAGCATAATTTGTTCCCTTTCCACAGCCCCAAAATGCATTGAGGGATGCCTTGATTTCACTGGCAGAATAAATTAATCAATCCTCAAAGGATGATACAACAGAGTTCATTGACTGTACAGTAGCAGCTTTTCACAATGGCCTTTGCCAGCCAAATGGCAGCCCACACCCCTGCAAATCCCAGCAAAATCCCCTCCACAAGTAAATTAATTCTTACGTTGTGGATAGAAGGTGTTTTTCTTTTTTCAAAATATGTGTGTAGAGCTTGCTGTTTGATAATGGTAGTGGTTGAAAGTACTTCATCTACTGTTCTACAGTATAATATGACACCAGGCAGGTATTCAAAAAACATGAATCAAACCACCAGTGACTTCTTCATTAATGATTCCTGATATTCTTAAACATCTTAATTAGATTAAACACCCTGACATTTTAATAACCGCCTTTGAAACTAATTGATAGTTATTTATGGCAAAACTAATAGTTGTGCTACAACAAATTCCTAAATGACTACATACAGTATTTAGTGTTAATGTGTCAAATTATCATTATCCGATGAGAGTGGCAATTACAAGGGAGTAGAGGTTTGCCAAAATCAGCTGGCAAGAGGCAACTAACAAAATATATATTTATATAAACATAAGATTTATCTTTTGAGTTAATTTATGACAGTGTTTTCAGTTGATTGCTTATCTAGTGTTTTCTTAATGTTTTGCTTAACAATGTTATCAAGATAGTTGTGTTGCCATTGCCAGCTGAGCATCTCTCGTGATTTAAAAACCTCTGAAAGAGCTTGATGAAGGGCCATTTTGCTTACTTGCATGCATATTTATTAGTCTAAAAACAGATGCTAGCCTCAGGAATATGCTTACAACCTTAAGGAGTGGTCAACTTGTAGTGTCTAGGTGCAGTAACTACTAAAAGATTGCTTAACTATCGATTTTTCCCTTTTTGTAAAGAAACTGTTGAGTCTCTGTTCTTGTCTGATTGTTCTTTTAGCACCTAGCATTTTTCCATCCTTTGCCTTTTTATTTAGAGATAGGTGAATCATTAAGACTCTTGCTGCTTAAAGTTTATTAAAAACACTGCAAATTGTGAAGTTTTCTTTTAATGCAGTAAATTATTTAGGTCTGTTCATTTTATGTTTGGGGTCTGATTTTCAGTTTGCCTCCAGAGCAGTTGGCATATGATGTCTGACTACAACCATTAATGTTTGACCCATGCCCTATGAGATATAATTCATTGATGACTGTATTGGTAAAACAAAAATGTTCGAAATACTTTTAGATATACATTAAAAACAAGCTGATGCCCACATTAATTATATCATGTGAAGATGATTATCCTAGAATCATAAATGCTATTGAAATGGCATAGTTGTGCTACACTTACACAACTTAAATGTAGTTATATAAAAACAACCCTGATGCTGAAAAAAGAGACTCTAAGCCTAACCATGCTATTTAAGATCAAAAGAGAGAGCTGAATACAAACCTATACAGTAAATAACACACCATTAGGAAGCAGCCTAACATAAGGAAAAGCAGCCATATTATCATTAGGCTATTGTCCACTCAAGCTTCAAGGACAGATGGGCATCATACTGAGATAAATTTATGTCACAAAAAAGCTATACAAATCTTGTAGAAATGATCCCCTGTTATACTTTTTTACTTTACTACAATCTTGAAAGACAAACAGCAATCAATTAATCAAGGAGATTTCTGAAGGCAAAAATTTATTTATACTTTTCCACACCTTCTTCCTAATTCCTCCAGGATTAACATCGGAGTTATGGTAGGATTTAATTATTATATTTGTTTATTTTTCAATGTTGTAGGATTACAATGAATTAAAACAATTCCACTGCAAAAAGAGAAAATAAATAACAAAATGAACAGTGGGATTTTCAACACTCTATGGTCACAACTGTATCATGTAGTCATCTGTAACACAGGGTTTCGTTTACCAATAGTGGTATGATTGTTTTATCTTTACAACAGCTGACAGTCCACCATTATCCACTCCTAACTAAGGTGTCTCGCTGAGTTGTATATCATTGTTTCATTTTTGATTAAAATTCCTATTTTTCTCACATGCATTAATAGTAGACACACAATCTTGTAAACATTAACATTATCTAACAATTTGTAACGTTGTACACTGAGGAAGTGGCTCATGATTTGCTGAAAGCCACATTTTATACACATCAAAATACACAGCAAATTGCCCGTTGGAGGCTCTTAGTAAAGAGGGCCATGAGCTCACAAGTAAAGGTCAAGATGGCTTAAGTTGTGATGATTATAGTTCTAAGTCAAAACCCTTATGAATGTAAGGCTTGATTACTCACTTGTTGTGTTCTTTGAATAGGATCTGACATGGTGAACGGTCTTTAAACATCCAATGAGGCAAGAGTCAAGGGGGGAATGAATAAAGAGTAAAAATATGAGTGTGTGTGAGGATGCAAGCAGCTGGCCTCCTATCCTACTCATTTGAAAACTAAGGCGGTGTTATTGTGACCTAAGGGTCAGAAAACCGGGTTGACTGCTTCTGTCAAATGTCACAGTTTCTTGACAGCTTGGGGAGACAACAAGTTGAGCTGACACAAATGTCTAAGTACATGGCTACAGGTTTATGCCCCATCAACTGCTCTTGTGCCTTCACTCACCAAAAGAGAAGATATATGTTTAAAGTAAATGAAGCTTTAATACCCAGGCAGGAACAACTTTGGCATATTAAGTAAGGAAATAAAAAAATCTTTTTTTTTTTAAATGAATAATTTTCTATGATTTGGATCTCACAGCAAAGTCTAGCCTTTAATTTGAGTAAATTTATTCTAAGAGAAAAACTGTTTTAAAAGAAAAATTATTAGATTTTACAAATAAATCAAAAGCTCTAATATCAAAACCTTGGCCGACCCCTTTCACCAAGCAGCACTTATTCCTCTCCTGTAACATATCACTATCTCCATACACAGACAGGAGTCTTTAAAGGTGCCATATTATGCAAAATACACATTAGAAACATTTTGTAACACTCAGATGTGTCCTGAAGCCAGTGTATGCGATTCATAAATGAAAAATACCCTTTCACCTCTATCATTACCTTTCTAAATCTCTTAGCTAATGTTTGCTCAAAATGGTCAGTTTTAAAAGCAATGTAAAGGGAAATAAGCAGTCCATCAGTCAAGCTACAGCCTTCATCTATTGTATTGTTCTGCTCTCCTAATCGCAATTTTTACGTACTCGGACTGGTTGTCATGGTTGTGGGGGTGTGGGCTTCGGGAGGATGGGGCTTGGAAAGCCAATATAGCTTGTCCAGAGGACAGCTGAGTAAAGAGATTTTTGGTACAGGTTGTACAGAACAAACCACAAAAAACTAATATATATATATATTTTTTTTTTTCAAATGTAGCATAATATAGATCTTTTAACTACTGTATTGTCCAAAATCTGTTTACTTCAAGGATGTCAGTTTGACTACAGGGTCTGTACATTTTCTTTTACAATTTGAAAGTTTTAATTAGTACTTCAGTACTTTGAATTTCACAGTTTTGGCCTGTGTGGTCAAAAACTGTGGACACCACTGCTCTAGATTATCAGGTCTGTGGGATATGTGGGATATTTAGAAGAGAAATAGGTTCGATAAAACAGTGCAGTCTTTCAAATGCATCTTATTTAATGTTAAATCTACTAGGCGTATTATATATTATATATATATATATATATATATATATATATATATATATATATATATATATATATATATATATATACAGGTGCTGGTCATAAAATTAGAATATCATGAAAAAGTAGATTGATTTCAGTAATTCCATTTAAAAAGTGAAACTTGTATATTATATTCATACATTACATACAAACTCATATATTTCAGATGTTTATTTTGTTTAATTTTGATGATTACAAATGACAACAAATGAAAATCTCAAATTCATCATATCAGAAAATTAGAATATTGTGAAAAGGTTCAAAATTGATGGCCCCTGGTGCCACACTCTAATCAGCTAATTAACTCAAACCACCTGCAAAAGCCTTTAAATGGTCTTTCAGTCTAGTTCTATAGGCTGCACAATCATGGGGAAGACTGCTGACTTGACAGTTGTCCAAAAGACGACCATCGACACCTTGCACAAGGAGGGCAAGACACAAAAGGTCATCGCTAAAGAGGCTGGCTGTTCACAGAGCTCAGTGTCCAAGCACATTAATAGAGAGGCGAAGGGAAGGAAAAGATGTGGTCGAAAAAAGTGTGCAAGCAAGAGAGATAACCGCACCCTGGAGAGGATTGTGAAACAAAACCCATTCAAAAATGTGGGGGAGATTCACAAAGAGTGGACTGCAGCTGGAGTGAGTGCTTCAAGAACCACCACACACAGACGTATGAAAGACATGGGTTTCTGCTGTCGCATTCCTTGTGTCAAGCCACTCTTGAACCACAGACAGCGTCAGAAGCGTCTAAACAGAAACAGGACTGGACTGCTGGTGAGTGGTCCAAAGTCATGTTCTCTGATGAAAGTAAATTTTGCATTTCCTTTGGAAATCAAGGTCCCAGAGTCTGGAGGAAAAGAAGAGAGGCACTTCATCCACGTTGCTTGAAGTCCAGTGTAAGTTTCCACAGTCAGTGATGGTTTGGGGTGCCATGTCATCTGCTGGTGTTGGTCCATTGTGTTTTCTGAGGTCCAGGGTCAACGCAGCCACATACCAGGAAGTTTTAGAGCACTTCATGCTTCCTGCAGCTGACCAACTTTTTGGAGATGCAGATTTCATTTTCCAACAGGACTTGGCACCTGCACACAGTGCCAAAGCTACCAGTACCTGGTTGAAGGACCATGGTATCCCTGTTCTTAATTGGCCAGCAAACTCTCCTGACCTTAACCCCATAGAAAATCTATGGGGTATTGTGAAGAAGAAGATGCAATACACCAGACCCAACAATTCAGAAGAGCTAAAAGCCACTATTAGAGCAACCTGGGCTATCATAACACCTGAGCAGTGCCACAGACTGATCGACTCCATGCCACGCCGCATTGCTGCAGTAATACAGGCCAAAGGAGGCCCAACTAAATACTGAGTGCTGTACATGCTCATACTTTTCATGTTCATACTTTTCAGTTGGCCAACATTTCTATAAATCCTTTGTTTTTATTGGTCTTCAGTAATATTCTAATTTTCTGATATGATGAATTTGAGATTTTCATTTGTTGTCATTTGTAATCATCAAAATTAAACAAAATAAACATCTGAAATATATGAGTTTGTATGTAATGTATGAATATAATATACAAGTTTCACTTTTTAAATGGAATTACTGAAATCAATCTACTTTTTCATGATATTCTAATTTTATGACCAGCACCTGTATATATATATATTATCTCAGCCTTCTTCAACCAACACCCATGGCTTCTCTTAAAATCCTGCAAAGTTCAACTTATTCCATACCAATACATATGAAACAGCGCAAAAAAGGAATTTTTTGCTATGCCTCCCAAATGAATAGTTGGTAAATTAAGAGTATCTAATGGTTTGTTACAGAGGCATGATGATCCCTAAATGTCTTACTACAGCGTAGCAAGCTTTCAATATATTTTATTCACCTTAACACCATCCTAACTTTGTCTTGTTGCAAGATGCATATGAACAACAGTCCATCCCAGTGATTCATTGGAAAGGACTTTGAATTTTATCATATAGCTGAGAGAAATCAATTTATTGGAATTCAATAAGTTAGTATTACATTCCCAGAGAATATGATATACTGTATATGTAATGGCCTTTACTTTTTTTTTTTTTTTAGTAAAGGGACTTCTCAGGACTTTTCACTTAAGCCATTCACACATTGATGGTGGCAATGCTGGATCAACACCGACAGAGGAGAAGCTGCCGTACACAGTCACCACCATCAGTAAGCACCATGGGTGAAGTGTTTTGCTCAATGACACAACTACTTAAACTGACAGAACTGGGGTTTGGACTAGCTCTTCAATAACAAAAAAAAAAACTCAAATAACATGAAATTTGAAACATACGAATTAACCAGTGGGAGATTAATGCAATAAAGACTAAAAAGCTTCTTAAACACTTCTTCAAAACAGATGATGATTTATTTGCTCCTTGCTGCAGTTTTGGGGGTTTCTAATTTGCTTACAGTTATTTTCTTTGCTTTTATCCAATAAATTTAATTAGATTCCATTAGAACTTTTTTTTTCTTGTTTGCTACTTTACATGTAATATTTGAGCAAGGCCAAGCCGGATTTTAATATGAGAATACAGAGGAAGACTATATGTTTTAATCGTGGGAACTTTTTTCACTTTTTGCCTTGCTTTCCAGTTTTTATTTTTTCTTGCTGTTGATGATGATATTGTAATCTGTAGTACACATATCAATACAAATATCTGATTATGAAACTATCACACATACTAGGGGACATATGTTGCCTGAATTGCCCTAATTGCTTCAGACTCCTTAAAAAACAGATCTAATATATATATATATATATATATATATATATATATATATATATATATATATATATATATATACGATTTTTAACATAAAAAGATGACATATTTTTTGCTTTCTATAGACAAAGTGCTTGAGAATGTTTTAATTTAGCTTATTTGGAAAACCTCAATTTAAATTTAGAAACTTTACGAAGGCTTTAACAAATCTATTGCCACATATGTGTTTTTATTTCATGAGGAAAGACGATATCACAGATACAGTGTGTAGTGTTCTGCTGGCACTGTTACGTGTCTGGGCTAGAAAAAAATGACAGCAAACACGAAGCTCAAAAGTGCCACAGGAGAGCTGGACAATTACCGATGCACACCGCATGTTCTGGATCTTTTCTTCATAGTGCATGAAGGGAGAGAAGGGACTGAGGGACTCAAGGCTACAGAGCCCCCAAGGGAGAGGCAGGGGAGAGACAGAAGAGATTGAAAGTCTCATATAATATTCATCTTATGCTGCATTGTCTGTCCTTGGGGTGGACTGTCTCAAGAGAAGGGAGTTGGTTGACTTGCGCAAACACACACACAAGAACAACACACAAACACCAGCTAAACTGCAAACATTTTAAAACATGACAGGAATATAAAGGCAAAAATCATAAAGTGTAACGAAGCGGTTACATTAACGGTAAGGAAGAGATGGCTTATGTACAAACCTGTGATTTCCCGAACAGTGCGAAACACATTAAGTTTTTCTGGATCTAATGGTCCAATGTTGTGATAAGCATCCCTGTAAAAGACAACCCAATATTAGGGTGTTAAAAATGACAGAATACAACATATATGTTTTAGAAATCACAAACGAGGCAAATCTATCTCAGATGCGTCTCCATGATTAGTTATTTATTATAAATGGCGCTGTCTTGCCCCTGTGACTTAAGACATACAAGGCAAGTTCCACCTCTAGACCACTAACCAGTTCTGAATTGTAATGCATTTTATTTTCATTTAAATATTGTGTACATGAAATACTTAGAGAATACTCTTGTGTAATTGCTCTGGAACACTAATGGCAAATCAATCTATTACATGACAGTGATTCAATGCATTCAAACATCTTTAAATAGTGAAAATGACTTGCTGAAGGTCAAACTGAGCATCAGAATGGAAAAAGAATGATAACAGCAAGGCTGGCCTGATCCATTTAGCTATTTGCCCAAAACCGTATGTTAGGTTTACAAGAAAAATCTAAAAAAACATACAGAAAGTAGTTATTGATTTCAAAGATGAAAGAACAATAAGCAGAACAGTTTCAGATGAGAAAAAGACAGCAGCAACTACAAAATATAGAGTATGTAGAATCTTAAATCACATGGGCTACAGCAGCAGAGCACAAAGATGGTGCATCTCCTGTCTGCACAACCCCACCAAAATAAGACAATCACAAGTTAGGTCAATCTTTCCTTTTTCAATAATTCTTCAGTTTAGCTGCACGATTAGTAGGACATTTTATATGACCAATGTGAAATCACTGATCCTCTTTGGCATTAATAACTGCTGGTAGAGGTTCAAAGGTTAGGTGCATACTTTGGGTCCTTTATCCGAGTGAGCATATTTAATTGCCACAGACCTCTAAGTATTGTTAATTCACTTTATGAGATCGGTGCATCTTTCTTTTCAAACATAATGCATCATGTCACAGACCTTATAAAAAATGGTCTTTTAAAATTGTGATTAGGAAACTAAGATTCCCAGCAAATGGATCATGCTATAATTTTGAAAATAAATTTACAACCCTTTGTTGACCCTTAGTTAGAAAGATGTAAGACCGTTCTGAAAGAAAGGGTGATGTGCCTGATACTAACAAGGCATACTTAATAAAGTAGCCAATAAGAGTTATTGAGTTTAAAATTATTCATACCCCTTTTTTGTATTTAGATTCCAAGTTATTTTTGTTATAATAAAACGTTTCTTCCTAAATGAAATAATGTGAACATTTTACCAAATATGAGAAATTACAACAGAAGTATCTTTTTTTAAATCTATTATTTAACTTTTATTATATACACACAAATATTATGTCAGAAATTAGTTACAATGCCTTAAACAATCAACTGAAATCCTTTATATGGATTACAGCAATCAAACACTATATAATATCAACTAGTTTCTTACATCTTTTATATGAATTACAATGGAATCTGTATCTTAGAGGTTGAAAGGCCAATTATCATAACCCTCATCCTGATCTCCATCCAGAGATATTTTAAAGGATTGCTGAGCCACCCTAAAATGTAAATTAACTTAACTGCATAAGCTCTATGCAGTTCATGTATAGTAATATAAAGTAATATGCAAATGAATATGAAGAGATCTTGGCCCATTGTAGTTCCCTACCATTGAATTAATGATGAGTGCACAAGTCATGGGTAGAACCAATGTATCCAAGAAAATGTATTTCATTCAACAAAAAACTTTACCATTTGGTCATATGGGGCTGATTTACTGTCCATGTAAGGTAAAAGAAAAAAAAGACACAAAACAAGCTAAAACAGGGAAAACATTATCTAATAAAAAAATACGGTTGATTCAATATTACATAAAACTTTTCTGCAAAGACTTGATTGCTGAATTTAGAAATCGAGGTTTGAAACATTCAGAGAAAAATAAGTTAAAGGAAAGTTAAACAGCATAATTCTTTCTTTGTATTTGTAATGATGTTGATGCTAATCTGACTGAAGAACCAGCTTTGTTGGCAATATTAATAGAGTAAGAATAGTAATAATTGTTTATTTAGCTTTACATCTTTATATTATTGTTTACTTGCTGTGGGCTGCTATTAAAGCAGATTCATCAGTCTATGCCAGAGTTCACAGATTATCGGACCGTGGTCCGGATCCGGACCCACCTGCTGGCTTATCTGGACACAACCTGATTTAAAACATTTATAAATTACTGCATGCTGTCCGATGGCAGGGTCTAATTTCACTTTTACTTCTCCGGTTTGTACAGAGCATCCGGCACCAGGCTACAGGTGATACAAATTAGCCAATGAGCTGTGCCAGTCAGGGTCGCTACTGTTAGCTACTTGTAGACATAGTAGGCAAACCTGTGGCAAGCCGGGCGATGAGAAAGAAGGAGAAGACGATGAGAAAAAGTGAAAGAAAGTGTGGACTGCTGGAAGAACTGTAGTGAACTGGTGAAAGAAAAGTGAAATGGTGTGCTCAGAGATGACCCTGCATATTTTAAGCATGTTTGGCTCAACCTACTGCTGTGAAGCATGATTCTCCACAATGAACATAATCAAAAATAAATATGGATCCAGGCTCAAAATGAGCACCTTGATATGTGCTTTAGAATGGCTTTGTCACCAATCAAACCCAGGTTTAAATCCTTGCAGGGCAGCCTAAAGCCTACATCTGTTATAAAGCCACAAAAAAATAAAAAAAATAAAAAATAAATGGTCAGTTCAGGTGTTTTATAAAATATGTGAATCAGGAAATTGTCTACCGAAAGACTGTTGTTCTCTACTTAAAAAACACTTTAGATTTTAAAATGGAATATGTTGTACTTTTTATTTTTTTTTTATTTAAAAAGTCAATGTATAACATGGATGCATAAACACCTCATTTTATTTCAATGTTAAAATTTGTTTAAAGGTTATAATTAAAAATGTCTCCAGACATTTATTGGCTGTTGATGATCTTTATTCGGACCCTGCTGATTGTTAATTGGATACCCCTGATCTATGTGGTTAATTGTACAAACCCTTCAATATAAAGGTGCTTTGTGTTTAGATTTAGTTTGTTTAGAGATTTACAGTTAGATGCTAGTCCACAAACAACAAATGTATTATCGTTTCTATATAATTTGGACCGTGTTTCTAATGGGGATGTGGGTTCACTGAAGTTGGATCATTTCCCCTATTTTCTTCAACTATCATCATTTTAAAGATGAAATTCAGGACCAGATGGGGACTTTACAGTCATAAATATTGTTTTAATGGTCTACTGGCCTTACCCTTTAATTCCAGTAATAAGGAACACCAGGTTGCCATTGATTTTGGTGCAGTTGACAAACTTGTCAATGTTGCTTGAGTCCACTGTCTGAGCTGTCTGTAGGCTGGCAGTACCTATTCCATCGCATGCTGCACAGCAGAAAGAAAGCAAAAGGTATCAGATTAAATATTGATCATTCAAACATAAAACAATAATATAATAATATATAAAGATTTATAATGAAATGAGTTTGTCATGTTTTATTTTCCTATCATGACACTCAGAAACATGTCAATGGATGATTGAATTATTCATAGAGATTATTATTAAAAGTGCAGCTAATCTCAAAATCAACTTATTTTGCATTTAAGCTGATTAACCTAGACATATGGGATGCTATGTAATATTACAGATTTATTTTGGTCTGCAATAATCATGTCAAAACTGTCTTAGTGCTGCCCTAATTGGCTAGTTGGTGGCTATCGAAGTTGAACTTTTAAAATGTTTCAAATGGTACATGATGCCCCATCACTAGTACAGTCATTTATCCTCACATTTTCAGGGACACAACGCCATCTAAGTAAAGAATGAGAAATTGTTAATACTTAACTTTATATACATTGGTTACAATTTTTTATTTTACCTTTTGGGCAGATATCAGTGCAAGGGATGCACATCTTAATACGGTTCTCCTCCACCTCCATCTTGTTACTAGGGCATGCTCTCACACAAGAGCTGTGGTCCACCACAAAGTTATCTGGGGGGACGAAGTCATGTTAAATGTCAGATACAGATGACTGCTGTTTGTCACTAGGACACATGGTGAAATAAGTAGTGGAAAAGTCTCGGTAAAAAATATACAGTAGAAGGAGAAAAAACACAGCAAAAGACACTTTGGTTTACTTTTTGTCTCATGCACTTTTATGAGGGTGAAAAAAGATATCACATAATAAAGTATTTGACCAAAGAAATTGAAAATATGTATGTGCTCATTGGAAATATAAAAAAAAACAAAAAACTGATAGAGCTTTTAGCCACTAAAACCAAAAGACAATCAAACAAATAGTGAACATATTCCCAAACTTTCTGTAGTTTTTCTTAAAAGCAAACATTTGAATACTAAATGTAAGTAAATATTACAGTTACTTTTAAATCCACATTAAGCAGATATGAGCTTCTTTCATCTGAAGTAGGTTGTGAGTGGCAGTTTGAGTACTGATATTTAAAATAATATGTCTAATACTATTATTAAAAAAGGACATATGAATAAAAACACTAAAGCAACTGCTCCTTATACTGATGAATGTAATGACAATAATTGTATCATTGTTTTATACAAATAAGGTTGAAGTTTCTATTCCTGCAAAGAAATGAACTTTTTGAATTCATATTGTACATCTGCCAAAAGATTACGCTGCTTGCATTTGCACATTTCCACACCTGCTGGTTGGCCTTTTCACTCATGCTGTGAGCACTGTTACTTGCTCACAATTACAGGTGCTGGTCATAAAATTAGAATATCATGAAAAAGTAGATTGATTTCAGTAATTCCATTTAAAAAGTGAAACTTGTATATTATATTCATACATTACATACAAACTCATATATTTCAGATGTTTATTTTGTTTAATTTTGATGATTACAAATGACAACAAATGAAAATCTCAAATTCATCATATCAGAAAATTAGAATATTGTGAAAAGGTTCAAAATTGATGGCCCCTGGTGCCACACTCTAATCAGCTAATTAACTCAAACCACCTGCAAAAGCCTTTAAATGGTCTTTCAGTCTAGTTCTATAGGCTACACAATCATGGGGAAGACTGCTGACTTGACAGTTGTCCAAAAGACGACCATCGACACCTTGCACAAGGAGGGCAAGACACAAAAGGTCATCGCTAAAGAGGCTGGCTGTTCACAGAGCTCAGTGTCCAAGCACATTAATAGAGAGGCGAAGGGAAGGAAAAGATGTGGTCGAAAAAAGTGTACAAGCAAGAGAGATAACCGCACCCTGGAGAGGATTGTGAAACAAAACCCATTCAAAAATGTGGGGGAGATTCACAAAGAGTGGACTGCAGCTGGAGTGAGTGCTTCAAGAACCACCACACACAGACGTATGAAAGACATGGGTTTCTGCTGTCGCATTCCTTGTGTCAAGCCACTCTTGAACCACAGACAGCGTCAGAAGCGTCTTGCCTGGGCTAAAGAGAAACAGGACTGGACTGCTGGTGAGTGGTCCAAAGTCATGTTCTCTGATGAAAGTAAATTTTGCATTTCCTTTGGAAATCAAGGTCCCAGAGTCTGGAGGAAAAGAAGAGAGGCACTTCATCCACGTTGCTTGAAGTCCAGTGTAAAGTTTCCACAGTCAGTGATGGTTTGGGGTGCCATGTCATCTGCTGGTGTTGGTCCATTGTGTTTTCTGAGGTCCAGGGTCAACGCAGCCACATACCAGGAAGTTTTAGAGCACTTCATGCTTCCTGCAGCTGACCAACTTTTTGGAGATGCAGATTTCATTTTCCAACAGGACTTGGCACCTGCACACAGTGCCAAAGCTACCAGTACCTGGTTGAAGGACCATGGTATCCCTGTTCTTAATTGGCCAGCAAACTCTCCTGACCTTAACCCCATAGAAAATCTATGGGGTATTGTGAAGAAGAAGATGCAATACACCAGACCCAACAATTCAGAAGAGCTAAAAGCCACTATTAGAGCAACCTGGGCTATCATAACACCTGAGCAGTGCCACAGACTGATCGACTCCATGCCACGCCGCATTGCTGCAGTAATACAGGCCAAAGGAGGCCCAACTAAATACTGAGTGCTGTACATACTCATACTTTTCATGTTCATGCTTTTCAGTTGGCCAACATTTCTATAAATCCTTTGTTTTTATTGGTCTTCAGTAATATTCTAATTTTCTGATATGATGAATTTGAGATTTTCATTTGTTGTCATTTGTAATCATCAAAATTAAACAAAATAAACATCTGAAATATATGAGTTTGTATGTAATGTATGAATATAATATACAAGTTTCACTTTTTAAATGGAATTACTGAAATCAATCTACTTTTTCATGATATTCTAATTTTATGACCAGCACCTGTAGTTGTGGGCTTGGTAACGGACAAAAGGCAAGGAAAGCCGTGTTCATCCACCAACGTAGGGACATAAAAACAAAAAACAGGGTGAAATTGGCAAGAGGTGATGTAAAGAAACACTACCAAAAAAAAAAAAAGACCTTTCCTGATTTTAAACCACCTCTAAATAATAACTTGAGAAAAAAACAGAACGTTGTTAAAGACTGAAACTATTGTTATTATTAAAAAAACATTGAGTTGCTGCAGTGCTGTTTAAATAGCTGTTTAATTCACATATAGTGTTAATAATGTGTCGCATCAATTTTTAGTCAACTTCTATTCTGTCAGAAAAATCCAAAGGCCGAAATATTTCTCCAATCTTTGAAAGATAGTGCACATTTGGGTAGACTGGATATACGCCCCTATAAACAAGTAGGTTTTGGTTTCATTTGACCAGATTACATTCTTAGAGGTGGTTTGTGATCTCCTTTATTGCTTGGGTAAACTTCAAATTTGATGGGTTTATCCATGCAATAACTTCATAGAGGCCAGATTTTTGAAGGTTACAACTAAAGCTTGTCTTGTCAATAGAAAAAAAATATCTTCTTTAGGTTTGGCCTTTTACTTGCTTCTCTTCTTAAAGAGTTCTCTTAACAGTTACTGCACCATGTCAAGGCGAAAAGCTGTTTTGATAGATTTTCAGGCCATTTCTTAACTAAAGGTTTGCAGTTCTGCCATTACATCTCTATCAAGTAAGTGTGTTTCTATGTCTTGTTGATGATCCTCGTTCACTAATGTTCACTAAAAAATCTTGCACCCTTTAAAAAGGAGCTGTGAAGGTACTAGCAAGTGGAATTGATTTGATAAAGGTGACTACAAAAGACTGCTGGTGGCAGTTGCATTTATTTAGGAGTATGAAAGTAAGGTGGGATACAAGTACAGCTCACTTCTTTTTTTTTTTTTTTTCCACAAAAAGCTATTTATTTCTTCACACAACTACACACTACTAGGTTTCTCACATCTAAAATATAAATTTGATATTGATGTAATGGGACAAAATGTGTAAAAATATCAGTAGTATTAATTGCCCCGCAGGCTCTTACCTTAGTTTTTTTTTTTTTTTTTAGATTTAAAAATCTTAAATCAAGAAATCTTGTCAGGTAAATTTATCTTGCTGCTTAGACAAACATTTTCGCTTGGTTTTTCCAGGGATTTTTTTCTGTCTTGATTTCAGACGTACCTTTTTTTGTAGTGTATGTATTTGTGTGTCACATTTGGGAAACTTACGCGGACACTTCTTGACACAGAATGCTCCATAGGTGTACTTTGCCCTTGGGTTGTGTTCAAGTTGGAATGTGGTAGGATTGTAGACAAATGGTTGTGGGCACTGTGTAACACACGCCCCACTGTCATTAAAGTTTGTGCAGGCCTGTAAACACAAAATAGGGTTTTATCTACTTCATTTAAATATACATAATTCACATTTCATTATAAGATGACACGCATCCTCATATGTTTTTGATCCGATGATCAAAGAATATGGCAGAAACTGAATAGAATGAAATTTTGAATTTGGTACCAGGATTGTCACAGCATCTAGGTAGGTGTGTATTGATTAGGGGTGGGTATTGGCAAAGAAGTCACGATTCGATTCGAATCACGATTCACATGCCACGATGCGATTCTATCACGATGCATCACGATACTTGAAATATTGCGATGCATTGGGATATTTTCACTGAACACTGTAAGAAAAAGATACAGCCCTTACCAGTGGCTGACTGGCTGAGTGTGATCTGGATAGTGTCTTCAATTGATACATAACTGAAAGCAACTGAATTCATACATAGCTGTATTTATTGAAATTACTTTTGGAGGTGTTGCCATGAAAACAAATACTGGACAGAAATATTACTATTACTGGCATGGACACACCAACAAAAAGATCTTAGGATTCATCAAACTTAAAAAAACAAAATGAGGATAATCAGTCCGGACATGCTTATGACACAAAGCAGCAGGCGTCAACACTTCCGCAGCGACATCTGCTGGACTGGAAGTTGTATTCCACTTGGTTTGATTGATGTGCGCCAACCATTAATGTATTTTATTTGTTCATTTTTTTTTTTTTTTTTATAATCGATTCTTGCCTTCAAGAATCGATTCAGTAGATCACAAAAATTAGAATCACGATGTATCGATTTGACGATTATTTTGCACACCCTTAGTATTGATACGCTTAAACTTAGTTTTATTGTATTGACAACACAGCATCTGAAAACCGATTTTCCCCTTGAGTGTGTAAAAGAGTTCGATAATGTTGGAGATAGAAATGGCTTTCCTTTAAAATGGATCAAATACTCAGACATGATAATAATTTAGCTAATATATAAATACAAATCTGAGCACAGTTTTTGCATCAACTTTCATATAATAATATTTTCTGTTTTGGTATTTCATGGAACAATGAACTAATTTCAGGTGATACTTCTGATAGGAGGGTTTATATAGAGTGAAATATGAACAACAGTAATTTCAAGGTGCTAAATAACAACAAAAGATCATATCTAAAGGAAAAAAAAAATCAGGCCCTTATATTAAAATTTTACATTTATATTTCAAAGCATTACTTTGCATACTTACGGTAACTAGAAATGCAAGATCTACTAGATTTACTATATATATATTTTATCTAAATATAAACACTTCTTCATAATTGAAAGTTAATATAATTTTCTACTGCTTTGTGTTTGGGAGTGTATTGTTTTTTTTTTTTTTTTATTCAGTCATAGGAATGGAGGCACTGAAAGCTTTGTTTCTTAACATCAAACATTAATATACAGTGTTTTTAATAAAGCTTAAATAAAGGGGCCTATTTGTAGGAAAAAAAACAAAAAGGAAAAAAAGAGTATGTTCAAACAAGTTTTGATTTATGTACCTCGATTAATTGCTTAAGCAAAATAAAAATATTTAAAAGGAAAACTATGCTTTCAAATGTAATCAAGCCCATAAGCAAAACCAGAATGGATAGTTTACTATTGTGAACTCTATATTTAACTGTAAAGAAAAAATGAAAAATGTTTCCCGATATATTTACTATACAAGCGACATTCATAGCGACGGATAAATGTTTTAGAAGTATATTGTTGACGTCGACCCTGAGCATAGACATATTTATAAGTTAGACAAACAAAATAGCAGACAAAGCACTGTGTGATTTAATTAGAACAATATGAAGCCATTGTTTATGATCATCGTAGACGGTCCACTTACAAAACAGTCCGTGTCCTTTGGGCCAAAGCACCCACCCGCACACTCACGATGGCAGCAGTCACTTACATAGGGACCAAAGCAGCGACCATCACACTGTTCAGCACACACCGTCTTGGTTACTGTGAAGGTGAAAATATACAAATAAGACATAAAGAACATATTCCATAAGACCTAGACCACAGTCATTTGTTTGCACCAATCTTTCTGCACAACCATGTGATCTTTATATTCTTAATTATTTAATAAATATTGCATAGTTTCAACAAAAGGAACATATATGCTTACACATGTTACCATGAAAAACTCTGAAGTATAATAAATTATGAATTGCATCCAAAAGATGTCTATAATAATAATTGGATAATTGGATGTACTGGTCAGGTGTAAAAGTGGTGCAATTTGTTAGACTTGATAGTCATGTAAGCTACAATAAATGAATGATCAATGGACATGAATAGGTAAAAAGCTTAATTTAAAATAAAAACTAAATTGACAACTATTTGTACACACACACCGGAAATAAATAACACAATTGTCTAGTCTTTTCTTTGCTAGCAGCACCTAAACTTTTATGAATTAGTGTTTGCATCTGTTTTGTATATATGATTTTTTTTTCCAGCAAGCTATATTCAGTAATGTGCTACCATATTGTCTTTCTCTGCCTGTAAGAGCACCTAAGGGGTCTCTCGCTGAATGCGACAGAAATGCAGTGATTGCCATTTAAAAAAGTGTATTGCTATCATAATGGAGAGCTGCCTGTCCCTTTCTCACTTGTCTTTATGCTCATATGGGGTACCGTATGGCTGCTTGCCTCTCTTACAAACAGCCATATGGCAATGTACATTGAACGTGCTGCAGACAAAGACAACTGATAAAAGGCACATCTTAAATGTACTTACAAAATGACTATTATGAAACATCAGGAATGAAAAAGGAGTAAAGTAATAAGAGAATAAATGTTTTAGTAAATAAACGATCAAACTGCTCAATTATCTTCAAAGGTTATGCTTTTATATTTAAATTAAACTTTATAATAATTGTAATTTTGTTCTGTAATTAATTAATTGCTTCTATTTGCATGTAAAATTGCATGCATGAAGTTGCATTTTGAAGTTAACATACTTGTTAAATGCTGTGTGGATTTTTAATCATACAATTACTTGTTTTCTATTAACTCTGACCGAACACAAACTTATTTGGGAATATTCCTCCTAAGTGATTTATAGCTTTTATTATACGTTATGAATACATATCTAAATTTATTTTTCAGTAATATAATAGCAAAACTTAAATTTAGTAGTTAGTAGTGATGTTGTCAATCTAAAAATATATAAGCCTTGATTTAGCAAGTAAAACTCTCCACTTTTGTTAATGTAGTCTCATGATGTTTTGTTGGATGCTCCATTTCTCCTCCGCAGTTACTTTGAAGAGATATTATCAGAGTGATGGATATCTTAACGGAAAAGTCACCAAAACGAAAAATGTGACCACGAGCACACACTTCAACCCACGCCGAACATATCATCAGCGCCATTCCATTAACGGTGCCTGGCCTAAAATGAAATGGCCTGCTTTATTTAAAGACACTCAGTCAAACAAATGACCTTGCCAGAAAGAGGGAAGAGGGAGAGAGAGCAAGACTAAAAAAAAAAATGCAATGTTGTTTATCAATTTGGCTTTAAAACTTCCATTTTGAAAAAAAGAAAAAGAAATAGTGCATGGTGACAACAAACACCAAAAGAATTCATCTCATGAAATATGCCTGGGAGCTTCCATTTGAACAGACTGTGGACAGCAGCATCAGTCACAGGAGCCAGTGCCTTTCAGTTGCTATTTACATGGGTAAAATTTTCCTTTTCCAGTTGTGGACTAAGAAAAAAAAAAGTTATAAAGGCTGTTAGTTTTCCACATTTGGTCATTCCGCTGTACTCTTATTATTAATCATTCCATAATTTTTTTATTTGAATTAAAGATTTTTTTTTCTCATTTAAGAATATAAAATAAAGATCAATTGTTACTGGTAACACCTGAACACTTTTGAAAAATAGGACTGAGAGGTTTCAATTACAGTACCTCTTATTTGCAATCAGCCGGATTTGGAGTCAGTTACAAATAAAAACGTTGAAAATGAATGAAAACTGTTTATTTTAAAGTGTAAAAACGACTATCCTAATAAAAGCATTTTAAAAATAACCGAGCACTTAGTGGATACATGTGGCTGGTTTTAACTCTATTTTAATAGATAATATGTACAGTAGCATTTTGAGCTTTTATGCACGTTTTGAAGGTCATAAGTGCAGATGGCGGTATGTGATCAGTTTGCATGGTCTTTTCCATATCCATGCAAAGGATTTTGCCAGCAATTTGTATTTCAACATATTCCTTTTACAATTACAAAACAAATTTATGTGAATGGGCCCTGCGATGGACTGGCGACCTGTTCAGGGTGTACTTTTCCTGTCGCCCCTAGACAGCTGGAGATAGGCACAAGCACCTCTTGCGACCCCGCTTAGGCATGACAGAAAATGGATGGATGGATGGATGGATGGATGGATGGATGGATGGATGGATGGATGGATGGATGGATGGATGGACATACGTATGTGAATGGCTGTTTACTAAAATTTTCCTGAGACATGTTTCTTTGTATTGTTTTCTCCATTCTGGCCATGCTATGAACCTGTCCAGATAATGTGACAATTACAGTACTTGCATCAAGGCAAAATCCAACTAAAAACCAAAGGTATTCAAATACAGTATATCATCAGTTTGTCCTTTTAGTTACATGGCAGCCAGAGTGCAGCAGTGAGAGCCACAGAGTCTGATAGCATTTCTCCTCGCCTTCCTTTTTCATTTGTATTTTTATCCATATTAAGACTTTACATTGACTAACATTTATTTTAGTTTCTGCATTCATGCCTAACCCTGACATTTACCCTAACCAATACAAATATATTCCTAACCCTAACCTTAACCTAAAGTTAATTCAAACCATTCCTCTAAACTGACTCCCTAAGGTTAAAAATGAGGGTCTGCCACAAATTCTATATACTTATTTGAATGTATATATCTTACAAAGAATGTTCAATTAATAGTGATATGATAAAAGTATGTTTTCTAATTAAACATTTACTTAATAACTGCAACACATTTAATTGAACATTCTAGTTAAAAGAATTTCGTTGAAAGGCAAGGAAAGAGAACAAATGATAGCATGCACAGAATGTAAAGCTGGAGATAGGAGGTAAACTGTGATAACAGGTAACCACCCGCAGAAAGACAGGGCCAAGCCTTATCTGAACTTAGTCAGTGACTTTCTGTCAACCTTACATGGTGAAACAGTTCATTCCTTATTATCTTAATGAGATCAGAGCCACAGAACAAACTCATGCCAGGACAGAAAAGCATAAATGAAGATGTCAGCGCAGTGAGTGATTAAAAGAAGGGAACTTTTTTCAAGAAACATCTTTGAATTCAACTGCAATGGCTTCTTAAAGAGGAAGAGAGAGTAACTTATACAAAATTTAGAAATGCAGAACCTGGACTTTTTTTTACATGGATTTGTAAAATAGTTTCTTGATAATTAAATATTGTGATCAGTATAATTGGCTAATTGGCAGATCAGAGCAGATACGATAAATTTGGCTTATTTACAGAAATAGTTTTTTGGGGTGTAACACATGAAGTAACCCATGGCCTTCATGTTTGTTTATCTTTACAACAAAATCTTTTGCAAAACCTCATTCATACCTTGTTTCACAGAATAAACCAGAGCAGTTTTGTTTGCTGTTTTTGCCTCTCTGTGTATTTACTGTGAGAGGATGTTTGAGAAGAGAAAATCAGCGAGTGCAGCTGTAAACATGGGCTTAACTATGACTATGTGGTAAAGTGAAATTATGTATTTGGTTTGAACTTCAATAACTGTTAACCCATTGTAACAAATGCCAACTGACCCTATAGTTATATATCTTTTATAACAGTACATATTGGTGATTGATCAGTGCATCTTTTGGTAATTTACATGTTTGTTTTTTTTTTGATACATGTAATTCAAATAAAAAAAAAAAAAGTTTCTATATGCAATAGAAAATAAATATTTTTTAATTTGACCCATGATTTTTTAATTTTCATTTAAATAAGTATTTTGATTCTGATTAGAGCTGAAACATGCCTAAAGGGAGAAAAATACATGTCGAATTATTAATATTTTCAATTATGAGGAGTAAAATCTTTATTGGAATTTATCAAATAATTATTGATAGTGCTGGACAGCTATTTTCCTAATATCTTTGGATGAACTCAAAGTCTCTGACGTTGGAGGGTCACAAGTCTAGACTCTTAGTGAGAAACTGCAAAAACCTTAATATTACTTTAATAAAACCTTTAGGCTAAATATTAGGAGTAAGGGTAAGTAAGAGTAAATCAAATGCTTCTTTTAGTTTTCAACTGGTAGACTTTTTAAAATCAACCTTTGATTATTACTTTCTTAAAAGAAAAAAAATGACATAAACTTTGATGCAAGAGTATGGTACAGTCAAATCTCAACATAGATTCTATCCTTGACAAAAAAATAGTTATTTACCTTTTTAAATAAAAGCATATATATTTTTTTAAGTTTTGAGGCACTGCTGGCCTTTATTTGGTAGCAAATTTACAAGAAATTCAGTACTCAACTTGAATTGAATTATGTTTCCCATCATATTTTCTAGATCTTAAAATACATGATATCTGGCAAAAAAGGAACAAATTATTAAAAACTCAACATATTACTGCAATAATAATAATGTACACAATAACAAAAATAAAAACTATTATAATCATTGTGATTCAGCTATGATTCATCAATGAATTGATTGATTTTCAGCATAAACTGTCCTTAATTTTGCATAACATTAACTAGAAAATTTAATCAAATTAAATTAACAGGGGTGAAATTAAAATTCTGAGGTAAAAAAAAAAACAAACAAACAAAAAAAAACAAATAAAAAAACAGGCCATGAATTTAACTTAATTTATAGTTGTGTTCTACTAGTAATACACTTACAGCTTTGACAATGGTCCTCCTTGGGGCCCCAGCAACGTCCAGTACATGAACGATGGCACTTCTGGCCTGCATAAAAAAAAAAAGATTAGAAAAATCAGATTAAGAAAATACTGATACTGTATATTAGCTAAACTTTTTAATACAATGATTCTACAGTATGTGAACTTTGAATAAAAATAAAACAATCTTTTTGAGTCTAGGTTTAATGAAGACACTTTTCATTTACTAAAGTATTTTTTTTCCCCCCAAGGTCCAATGGTTTGGTTTACAACCACTTTCAGTATTCTGTAAGTAAGTGATCACTACTTTAATCAAAAATTTTTAATAACATGTTGTTTACAAGAAAAAAAGCTTAGAGTGTGATTACATGAACGTGATCACATTTCTGCTGTTTAACAGATCACTTTCTCAGGCTGACGTGTTTCAAGAAAAAAAAATATTAATAACAAAACACATTGCTTAATTCATTCCTGCCATTTTTACCAATGAACTTAATATAACTGTAGCATTAGGTTTTGGTATAAGGAGAAGCCTTAAAACAGCAAAAAAAAGTGAGATGAAAGGAATCCTATTTCTTCAGAGCTGCAATCAGCTTTCTGAGTCTTTAAGGACTTAATTGACTTTCTTGTAATTGACTAACTGTAAGAGGTAAGTCTGAATGACAAAAAGTCCTGCCCTTTGCTCATCAACTTCTCCAGATGAGACCTTCTAGTATTACATTGACTTGCTGCCTACTGTATCACTCTCTATCCTCTAACAAATCTTCAAGCACTTGTTTAATGTGTAGTTATTTTTCATTTATATTTATGTTTTTCATGTATCATTGTGCCTCTTCCCTAGCCTGTTTTCTGTCAATCTTTCAGAGAAAAAATGCAGCCTCTTCTGTCAATGCTTGAGCTTTAGGTTAAATTCTATTCCTGTAAAGAAACATAGACCCCAAATTCATTGCACTGATACAGCAAACATAGAAATAATGTAGAGACTTTGTGACCTCAGAGAATAACAGGAAGATAATGTTCTTAGTTGTGGATTAGAAGTTTGGAGACCCTTGATCTTTTGGATGGGGTGGATGACATACACGTGAGCTGAGGTCAATCTGAGGCTAACAGGGCTGCAGAGAGGAGGGGGCCTGAGTAGAATACCAATGCCCTGAGTAGTTAATATGCATTGGAGGTCTAAAGCAAGTGCTGTGAGAACATATCCAAGGACATGTGCTTACTGTCTTTTTATTTTAATTCAAAATGGTAATAACTTTTTATTTTATGATTTTACAAACTAATTCAAATGTCAAATAGTGGGGGGATTATAAAACTGAAAGGACTGTATTAAGAGGCTTAATGAGTAAAATAAATGAGTCAAAGGGGGTGACTTGATTTATTCTTCCTTCACTGACAACCACAGTAGACATTGCCTGCCCCCCAAACTGTCTGACAGATTTAATATTGTTTTTTTATTATTAATATATTTCATCCCTAGTAAATCTCCTAATAAATAAAAGTCAGTGTCTTTTTTTAACATACTATTCAGCTGACTATAAAAGGGTTATATGAGGCACAACAACAAAATAAAGTCAGGATTTATGTTTTCATTACAAAGCTCATTACAGACACTCATCAGCCAATTACGATTTTGCTTGATTGATCTAATATTTATTTTTCAAGAGCGAGTGGCCTCATCCACTACTTTTGGGAAGCATTTCTATGTTTAATGTAAAATGTTTTTGGCACATGACTCATAGGTTCTATTCATTTTCAGCAGGTTCTGGTTATTTTGTACAATCACCACCATTCAATGGCACAATGGTGATGTCTGGTTTTGTAATCATCATACATTGCTTTATACATTGCCAGTTTTTACTCCTGGTGAAAGCTAACACATGCATACACCAGGATTTATGCATGCATGAGCATAAAATGGTTTATTTTATACATCTTCTGGAAGTAGAAATACTGTAAACAGCAGGTTCACAAATGTAGCTAATGGCTATCCATTGCTAAACCCACCAAAAAATTTAGGTGTGTACATTTACATGTGTCATAAAGCGTAAAGTAAGGAAATAATGTATTTTTGTTCAATTCCATGAGGTGGGATATACCTATGTGTCTCATCACGCAAAGTATTGTGTGTAACTTTATAGCTCTTAAGTAGGTCCCTATGTTAAATGATAGATAGGAAGCACCCTGCTTTCTCTTACTCCTTTTCTTACTGCCAGAACTATTTCAAAGGCACCTCTCACGCAGTTCCACTTTGGTTAAAGTGTCCCCACTGATATACCTGATTTAGTTGGACCCAAGCTCTGCAAAGTCCTGCTAGTCAGCTGATGTTGGACTCAGGTGTGTAGAAACATCTAAACATTCCAGGACCCTCAAAGCCTGGAGTTGGAGTTTAAAGGGAATAACATGGAAATCCATTGGAACAGGGGTACCAGATGACTGTTCTATTAAACTTTATTTTGCTAATTTGTAATTTAAGCTGACTGGCCCACAAAAGGATTTGCATAACTGTTGGAGAAAAAATTATTTTTGGCAAATTTCTATGATTAAAAGTCTGAAAAGCTTGATGTGCATTCATGTTTAAGTTTCCATGAGTCAACAATTTGCAGGACCCCTTGCTCCAATAACAGCTCTTGGTCTTATAGAGTATGTAACTTACTGTTTTGTAGATCAAGAGATTGAACTTTGCAAAATTGAAAGTGAACTTTCATGCAAAATAGCTCAAGTTCCTCCAAACTGGTAGGCAAATGTCTGAAAACATATTTTTCTTTTCAAACACTTAACTGGATTTTGATGGAGGTGTCTGGTGGGAATTAAAAAATCCACAACAGACCCAAATATTTGCAGGGACGGACAAGTTTTCTTACAGGATCACCCTGTATTTATCTCCCTAAATCCTTCTGAAGAACTGCATCTATTTTCAGGCATGGGGGATGGTAAGTGGTTCAGGACGCATAACTCAAAGTCATCTGAGTCCCAGCCTCACAAACTTTTCCATTTGTGATAGACCTTTTTTTTTAATCCCCTTCCCTGTTATTATACTGTGAAACAAAGGTCATCAGTGCCTAACCCTAAAATAGGATGAGCTACATAACGGTAGGATGCTGCCAATTACCTTCTAGTTAAACTGAGCATCCTGACCTCTCTTTTTTTAATGCTCTCCTTGTTCGACCCCAGAGATTAGTTGAAGGGCATGTACCCTAAGGTTTGCAATTGCAATATACTCCATTACATTTACACAATAATCTACACGACCCTAACTTACTAACTTACCCTACATTCTGTCCCTGACCTCTCAGCTTATTTATTCGATCTTCATTATTATTTTTTTATTCACAAAAACTGAGACTTTCACTCATAAGATGTATTGACTGTATGCCAATATTATATTTTAAACTGGTGCTCTATATTTATAAATAACCTTTGAAGGAAAATGGCTGCTACATTTTTATGGTAAGTTGTTAAAAGGATGATATGTTTTAAAGATTTTATTGGCAAAACAGTTTAAAACTATTATGTGTTGCCCACATCACAATCATGCACTGTTTTGTACATATAGTCATTTGACAAACTATATAAGGCTTGAAGAGCTATGAACACTTCTGCAAATAAGTGTGTTCGATGAGTTCACAAGGAAGCGATTGATTAAATGAATTGGTCACTAACTTTTTACTTAGAGACATGACTATTAAATCTAAAAAGCAGATTAAACTACAGTACTGAACTTTTCTACATATATTTAAAATTGAATGAAATAGTTTTGGTCTAAATACACAACATATCGAAAATAAGCTGGTGGTTTGTAGAGTTCTAAAACAGCAATTCAGACATCTGGTCAACACTCCAGATACTGCATTAGGTAAATAGCTAGAAGCCGTGTCTGTACCAGCAGCACAACATGTGTTCCCTTTCCGACTAAAGTCTAGAAGAAATCATGAGGAAAAATATGATACATCTGGTTATGTTAAATGATTTTAACAATCCATAACCAAAGGTGTCAGTTTTAAATCAATGCAGCTTTCTGTGAAGCACAAGCACTGGAGTATAATTATAAAACTGTGGCTATATTATGCATCCTGCAGTGTAAATCAATGTAACTGTATTAATGTGGGATATTGGTCTGAAAAAACCCCCAAAACAAACTTTTATATTATGAAACCTTTAGCACTGCAGAAACTAGGATGTACCTCAGTTGCTTTACTGTTTCTTATCTTCTTTTAGATGGTCTGCTTGGTCTTTTACTTACACGTGACACTGCTGTTAGTAGGCACCACTATAGGATGGTGCCTGGGATACTTGACAATGTCCTGCCAGTGGATTGTGTCTGCATGGCAGAGGAACTTGTTCTGATCAATATAGACGCCTCCGTTGAGAATCTCTGTGGAAAAAAGAAAGAGGATAGTCAATTGAGGCTTTTAAGGACTCTCAGCATATTTTGAGTAAAACATGGCTTTTATTTACTCAGATGTAGATGACAGGCTACAATAAACCAAAAATAATTTGCAGACTTAAGCCCCAGCACTGTTAGTCACATTTCATTAACTCTCAGTTCAAAGGAACTTTTCATTGTTATTGGATGGGAATTTGACTATTTTAACCTTGGATGGCCTGCTTAGTATATGAACAACTGGGAGAGAGAAAAAGAAAAAGCAAAATCATCAGACAATGGTGTTATAGAAATGTTTTGTTGGTGGAAGGAGACTTTTGCAATTTTCAGTGTCAGTGAGGAGCATGAAGTCAGAGGAGAGGAGAGACAAAAGGTGCAAGCAGTTTCCAAACTGAAAACAGCAATTTCTATCATTGACGAATAACATAAATCTAAAGATATAATTAAAGTTTTTCTTTACAGGGGTCAATATCAGCCACATAAATGGCATATTAAAAACTGTTGACACGCTTTTGAAATTTTAAAGTTAAGGTAAGATCTGTTCAATTTATGGTAAGACAGAGAATAATAATATTTATGTATGTATGTATGACAGCCAATATTGCTTAACACTAACGTAAATAGTTAAAATCCCATTGGCAGGTTTTTGTGACTTTAGCGTCTCTCACACATCATGTGATGGCTCCTAATATAGATAGGGACAAGTCAAAACAGAAAAGCTGCTTAAAGGTCATTTATAGCTGTAAGAAAAAAACAATGATTGAATAATCTGTTACAAAAAATAATGATAGTGCTTAGTGAAAATCTAAAAAAAATAAATAAATAAATATATATATATATATATATATATATATATATATATATATATATATATATATATATATATATATATATATATAAATATATATATATATATATATATATATATATATATATATATATATATATATATATATATATATATATATATATATATATATATATATATATATATATATATATATATATATATATATATATATATATATATATATATATATATATATATATATATATATATATATATACAGGTGCTGGTCATAAAATTAGAATATCATGAAAAAGTAGATTGATTTCAGTAATTCCATTTAAAAAGTGAAACTTGTATATTATATTCATACATTACATACAAACTCATATATTTCAGATGTTTATTTTGTTTAATTTTGATGATTACAAATGACAACAAATGAAAATCTCAAATTCATCATATCAGAAAATTAGAATATTGTGAAAAGGTTCAAAATTGATGGCCCCTGGTGCCACACTCTAATCAGCTAATTAACTCAAACCACCTGCAAAAGCCTTTAAATGGTCTTTCAGTCTAGTTCTATAGGCTACACAATCATGGGGAAGACTGCTGACTTGACAGTTGTCCAAAAGACGACCATCGACACCTTGCACAAGGAGGGCAAGAAATAAAAGGTCATCGCTAAAGAGGCTGGCTGTTCACAGAGCTCAGTGTCCAAGCACATTAATAGAGAGGCGAAGGGAAGGAAAAGATGTGGTCGAAAAAAGTGTACAAGCAAGAGAGATAACCGCACCCTGGAGAGGATTGTGAAACAAAACCCATTCAAAAATGTGGGGGAGATTCACAAAGAGTGGACTGCAGCTGGAGTGAGTGCTTCAAGAACCACCACACACAGACGTATGAAAGACATGGGTTTCTGCTGTCGCATTCCTTGTGTCAAGCCACTCTTGAACCACAGACAGCGTCAGAAGCGTCTTGCCTGGGCTAAAGAGAAACAGGACTGGACTGCTGGTGAGTGGTCCAAAGTCATGTTCTCTGATGAAAGTAAATTTTGCATTTCCTTTGGAAATCAAGGTCCCAGAGTCTGGAGGAAAAGAAGAGAGGCACTTCATCCACGTTGCTTGAAGTCCAGTGTAAAGTTTCCACAGTCAGTGATGGTTTGGGGTGCCATGTCATCTGCTGGTGTTGGTCCATTGTGTTATCTGAGGTCCAGGGTCAACGCAGCCACATACCAGGAAGTTTTAGAGCACTTTATGCTTCCTGCAGCTGACTAACTTTTTGGAGATGCAGATTTCATTTTCCAACAGGACTTGGCACCTGCACACAGTGCCAAAGCTACCAGTACCTGGTTGAAGGACCATGGTATCCCTGTTCTTAATTGGCCAGCAAACTCTCCTGACCTTAACCCCATAGAAAATCTATGGGGTATTGTGAAGAAGAAGATGCAATACACCAGACCCAACAATTCAGAAGAGCTAAAAGCCACTATTAGAGCAACCTGGGCTATCATAACACCTGAGCAGTGCCACAGACTGATCGACTCCATGCCACGCCGCATTGCTGCAGTAATACAGGCCAAAGGAGGCCCAACTAAATACTGAGTGCTGTACATGCTCATACTTTTCATGTTCATACTTTTCAGTTGGCCAACATTTCTATAAATCCTTTGTTTTTATTGGTCTTCAGTAATATTCTAATTTTCTGATATGATGAATTTGAGATTTTCATTTGTTGTCATTTGTAATCATCAAAATTAAACAAAATAAACATCTGAAATATATGAGTTTGTATGTAATGTATGAATATAATATACAAGTTTCACTTTTTAAATGGAATTACTGAAATCCATCTACTTTTTCATGATATTCTAATTTTAATGACCAGCACCTGTATGTATATATATATATATATATATATATATATATATATATATATATATATATATATATATATATATATATATATATATATATATATATATAAATATATATATATAAATATATATATATATATATAAATATATATATATATATATATATTTATATATATATATATATATATATATATATATATATCAATTTATTATTATATTTTTTTGTTTTAAACTTAATTGATTGCAACATGAATTGAAATATCTTGTAATGTGACTTTTACATCTGGAGTTGACCAAAACAAGTCAGTAAAATAAAATATATGCTGAAAACGAGACTTCATGTATTTTTATGGCATTTCTCTGCCTTTAACTTTGTAAATTAAATAGGTTTTTAGTAATGCCAAAAGAGAGAAGTCCATAATTTTGGACTGTGCCTTTGAAGGTCATTGTTTTTTTTTTTTGTGTGGCTTTTTTATGTTCTTGTTTTTATTTGCGTTGAATAAATTCAAATCTTGTTTCATTCAGAAAACGTAGACATGGATCTCATTTGTAGGTTTAACAAATAAATTAGAATCATCTCAAATCTGAATCAGATAGTTTAAGATTAAAAAGAATTAGGATCACAGATTACAACATCTAATTAAATTAAAATCTCTAATTAGCGCTTCTATAGATTTAGAGATGGTTGTTATTATAAAGTCAGAAGAAACTTTCTCATTATTATATTCTGCAAGATGCTATAAGCAAACATAATAAACTATCCTCCACTCAATTCCATCTGGGATTAAAACCCTAGTAAGAAGTCTGTAAAAAGCACATTTTATTAAAGTAGTGATGCCGACATAATATGCAGTGCTTTATCAAAGCAGGCATTGTCAGATTTAGGGGAGGGATTGATTACTTGGGTGTAAATGCACATTAAAACTAGCTCCTTTATCGATACAGATTGTGGTTTAAATCATTGTTGTGCTGTAATTTAGGACAGCATTATTCTAAACTTTTAGACCAGTCAGAAAAAACAGAAAAGGGAAAAAATTTTCAAGAAGATTGCAGAAAACAGCATAGAGACAGATGGTGAATAAGAAACACAAAGTAAAGCCCAATAGCAGATTTGCATTATTTACAGAGCTTATGTGTTCTCTATCTCCACACAAACAGATTACTAACATAGGGCTAAAACCAATGAGACCCATAATCTTACTTAAGGTACCCTGCCAGCACCACACAGTACTGGCCAAATACAATACTGTCTCACAAAACCTTGATTAAATGACGCTCATTGGAATAGGTGCTATTGGTACAGTTCCATAGGTCTTCATCTCCTAAGTTCAGAGCTAATCCACTACATTTGCATCGGTGTTATTAAAATAAATAATTCTGCTTCCCATTACGGGAGGGATATATCTCATCTTTAAAGATATCACGTTGCAAAATCAAATTGTTCTCACAATAGGATGTAGCTGGAAAAGAAAACGATGAAAACCAACAAAAAACAAAGCCAATTTGTTATTATGTCAAGCTACCAGCAGGAATTTACCATCTTAGTTCAAGTTCAAGCAAAGGCTCTACATCATCCAAGAATTACAACAATTATTTTCTGGCATGTTTCTTGAAAACAGAAGCCAAAATATGACAAATGCTGTTGTAAAAATTCCAAAGCTACATGTGGTCATGCATGATGAGAACAGAAATCAAAGATTTCTGTTCACGCACAGTCTGACCAATATCTTATAAATACTTCAAATTAGATATTTACAATTTTATGGCTAGGGTTAACTTTCCTTAATGAACTAATTTTTTTTAATAATGTAAATAGAAAGTATTTATATATTTTTTGTTGTGTTTTTATTATTTACATATTTTTTATGATTTACATAAATCTCATATTCTGGTTCAACTGCCTTAACTGGTTAAGTGCAATGATAGTAGAGTGGAAATGTATAGTTTTGAAATGCATATGAATCCAATGTATTTTAAAAAAAAATGGATGAAAAAGCAACAGGAAACAGAATGTCCCTCATTCTCCCTGGAATGATATGCATAGGGTAGGTTGTCTCATGCATCATCAAGTGGAGGGGAATGATCCCACCATAAAACTATTTGTCTGCAGATCCCTTTTCATGGTACTGAGAGTGACATCAGCATTTAACCCCTAATCCATAATTTAGCAGCAGGTAGGCTGCAAAATGAATAAGGATCACTAATAACAAACTATAGGTTAAAAAGTAACAGAGGTCATAGATCTCCCACCTCCAAAATAAACCCTGAAGTTTTGCTACACTCAATATCTCTGGAAGGGCATAGTGCTCTCTAGAGAAACCAAGCTCC